AAGGACGAAACTTTTGGCCTGACCCGCTTCTTCCATCATCCCATAATCCTCCTCTTAAGCTTGTTGTCTTCGTTTTCTGGATTTTCCCGCGTCCGTTTAAGTGATGTTGATGCTCAGGGTACACCCCAGGACCTTCAGCTGGTGCTTCCTTACCCATTTCATTTCTTTCATGATCATTTCATTTCATTTATCTTTTTTTGCCAGTAGATCCCACCTAGGAGTGTGACCTGTTTTTCAGGTATCCCTGGGTACTGAAAAGGCTTAGCGAAACATGTAGAACAAATTACATAGCCATAGTACGTATGGTCTATAGACACCAGTCCCACTACAGTCCGTTTTAAAAGTTGCTGTGGTGGGAAGTTGCATTTGTTCTGTACAATGTTTGTTCCATAGTACTGGCTCCTGATGCTGTCAACTTGTTTTTGTGGTATGTTAACGGGGGAAGGATTAAGGATGACATGAATATCGGGATCGTCACTAATTGGTCGGTAGATGGTTTGTAGCGCCACAAAAGACCTGCCCATCAGTCAAACCAAACAAAAAGCGAAGAGTCTCCTTCCCGTCCCAAACTTCTCAATTAGCGCGGTGTTACCCCGCAACTGGCAGATTCATCTCTCCACTCCATACAATATGTAACGTAGATCTAACATCACATTACGTACAGCATGTCTGAACAAACCTGCCGTCACAGCTGACCAACACGAAGAGCTATCATCGGATGACAGGCTCAGGACGAAGCATGACGTCTTTCCGTTAGCTAGTATTGCAATATACTATTCTAAAAGCAGAGATTTAGGCTTTGGCTTATTTTTGACGCTTTGTTTGTTTGTTTGTTTGTTTGTTTGTTTGTTTTTTGTACTGGTTTCTTTTTTACGCCAGCCTGATGACGAATTGGATACTGCCTGGCCAATTTCATACTGTCTTACCAATTTGATGCTGTATTTCAGCCACCAAACGATCTGCTTGAAGATAAGTGCAATGTGGCCTTGTGTATTTTATCCAAGCACACCGGGTCACTCCTACTCTTCTTGCTAGATTACATTTATTTATTTATTACAATTAACCACATACATAATATACATGGAGGGCATGGTGGAACAGGTGCACCTAAGTGCACCTTTTCAAGGTCACCATGCCACCATGCCACATCGTATCGGAAGACATGCACAAGAGAATGAAAGTAATATTTTAGCCATTGATTAATCTCCAAGCAGATCCCTTTCGGCGGCAAGACAGTATCCATTAGCCAGAGAAGGTCGCCGGCCACCGGCGGGTTGGTGGGGGTGGCGACAAAAAACGGCCATATATGAGATGCTAACGATCATTCCCCCACAACCTCTGCTTGGAGAGTAACCACTGATAGCACTGAAACACCAAAGTGCTCTATCATATCGACGACTTCGCCAATAATGTTCATTGAAGCAACACGGTGTGGAGAAATGATAATACACCGAGTAACCCAAACAAAGTGAAACAAATTAAACCGACGGACTCCATGCCGACCCCCAGGATTTAGTCGAACAGAGCACGCTACTTGAAAAGAAAAGGCCATAAGAGATAGGGCGATGTATAAGAGATGACACAACACTCTTCGATTAACGACAAAAGACCAAAGCCGACAAGGTGCCGCCATGTGCCACGGTCTTTAGTACTTACAGCAACTATCCTACAAATAGTACAATGTAACCAAAAAGACAGAAAAAGAGAAAGAAATAGACTGATAACATAGAAAGTGGATAGTAATGCGATAAGATAGATTGCCTCTTTTAGACCAGCCACACGTTAAGCCCTTCAAACAACTCTCAATTCAACTAACATTTAAGCATTGTTGCGTTACGACTTACTCATGAAAAGCAAGTACAGATTCCTTATCTATGACTGACAGAATAAGCTGCCAATAGAAAAAGATGCCATGACTCAGAGCGCAATCTTGGAGTCGATCAGTCTCCATTGACTTGGCGTTAAGTACGTCCTGAGGTGGAACGGAACTTCCCGTGGGAAGGGCAGGCCACCTCTGACAGCAGCACTGCAACCTTTTCTACTCAGCACGCAAATGTAGGTCTGCTGAAGTAGGTCAGACATGTATAAAGATTATTAGATTACAGTGTATGGACAGATTTATGGCATAAGAACGAAAGTAAGTTATATTTTGCCTTCAGCCATTCAAACTATTCGTTATGGGACTTGAAAGTGTTGTTCTGTCAGTTTGCCAAAGTAACCTTTTCCTAACTTTAGGCAGCTGGGCAAAATTTCTCAAACTCACGGAAAGCTGAGCTGTTATAGAAAAGACCAATTTACATGATCATGACAGAAAACATCCAGAGCTGGAATCGTTGCATATAACATTGATATGTACAGCTGGGAATATGCTGGCTTGTGGTTATTTCTGTGCCCACGGCGAAGTGCCGACACACAAAAACACACTATGCAACGGCTTGATAGATAACATACCAAAGATTTGGGCTAAAGTGAAAAGGATTTTAATCATAGCACAGTACAGAAACATTCTCTATTATGTCTATCATGGTTCAGAATCTGGATGATAAACTGGTAACGATCCATGGTAGGGAACATCTGTGCAAGCTGACCCCATTTCTGGAAGGATATTCATGTTTCGCAAAGTTTCTCACACTTGTTCAAGGTCGCACTTATAAACCTGCTTTTCTGACAACTCTCCAGTGTCATTGACGAAAGGTAGTGGATGCTACCTGAAACGTCTGACCGTTTCCAAAATCATACCCAGTTGCTTGAGTAACTGTTTCTGGAGTATCTTATTACCTGGATGTCTAACCTTCACCGGCGTTTCTCAAACTTACCATGTAACGGTTTCCGTCAAACAGATCGACCAGAACTATTCCGCGGCTGAACGGTCTGGGTCAGCTGTGCGTGTGCATATGCAGCATGTACGATGTTAATAACCTGGCGAAACTGATCCGTTCTTTTCATCAAGTTCCCGTGCCCAACGGCGATCAATCAGTTCTCTAATGAGTATCTGGAATCGACTTTCTAGAGGTACATTTCTTCATACTCGACGACAAATACGTTGTACAGTGAAAGCGTGAGTAAGTATGTTGTGGCTGACTAATTTACATACACGTATGTAGCTAATAGAAATTCTGGTCTTATATAAAGTTTTGAATTACAACTTTACATAAGACCAGAATTTAACTGTACCATATTCGGTAGGTAGGCATCAGATTTTTTTTACTGAGTGGCTGAGGGATTTACTCTTTATCTTCCAAAAGGAGGTTGTGTGAACATCTTCTGCGTGTGGTAGTGTAGAGAACAAAACGGTTGTCCTCTCAGACAAGGTGAAGTACGTCATCAAACCAAGGGGAGATCGATTAATAAGGATTGTTCCCATAATAAGGATTGATCCTTCTCGTTACTTCACCGGTAGCCTGGGTGCCAGACCCATAGCACACTGGACACGAAGTATCTCATGCTCACTGAGATACACATGATGTCCAGTGTGCTATGGGTCTGTCACCCAGGTTACTTCACACGTCATAACGGCAACTCCGCCGGTCAGTGACAGGTTAGCTTCCCAAGACATCCGACCTTTTGGCAGAGATTTTCCGGTACAATGAACCGATGGATCGGAGGTCCCGTGTCTGAGGATAGCCACACCTCGCGCATGTTACAAGAACCCATCACACTTATAACATTCATAACCTTATAGCCCTACGGCTGCATCTGGGGTAATTACTGTCGTATTGAGGTCGCCTGAGTTAGCGCCGAATGGCAGCCGCTTCAGACCCTTGCGATTCAGCCCCACTAATTGTAAGCTGATCACAAGTCAGCCCCTGGCTACAAAGAGAGAGTAGCAGACCCACCCAATAACCCACCCTTTCTTGGAAAGGCAGTTTTAAGCACATCTGACGGGCTCATTTTACATACATAGAATTCTTGGTACTGATTGCATCGGATCAGATGTCGATCTTTCAGGCCAGGTGAGGTCGTCAGGTAATCCTGGTGTGATATGATATGAGCAGTGAACAGACTGGTACTGCCAACTTGTACTGCTTGGTGCATGCATGTCGCAGGTGCCCGTAGAGTGGTTTGGATCATTCCGAGTATTACGCTGTGATGCCCCGCTACTAAACTTAAAGCCGCGCATAGGCTGCAGCATAAACTCAACAGGTTACGTTTCACATGTGAAATGCACCGCATCTCGACTCGATCCGTTAACTGTGCATGGTGTGGGCGTTTCAATGGTATCAGAGATTCAAAAGGTATGAACAGATAAACACTGTGTAGGCTTCGAAAATTTACTGTATGAATATGTTGTCGAAGTCCCTTTATCGTATTTAGTATTGTTTTTGGTACTGTCTGTCTGAGTGTCCCTCTATATGTTAGTGTCATTCTAAATACAGACAATGCATCGTTGCCATTTATCTTCAGTGCTGTTGTCCTTGTCTATAGATCGGGATGGGTCACAAATCAGAATTGATAACCAATTGTTGTCATAACCCAATGCCAATCTAGCTTCTATGCAGTCTTGCTTTACACGCAGTGAATCATTGCCATTCTTTTGTGGATTGAAAGCTTACATGTCTTACATTGATATCCCGTACTGAAGCCGTCCCTCCCGCACACGGACCTGCATGAGTAGGTGTGTTCGACCGCCGCCCCGGAGTTTCCAGTCACGATAACAGGTTAATTATCCCGCACAAAAATCAATTTTCCGTCGACAGGCTGGCTTGTAGCCGCCCGGACTTGATGCTGCTGCGTTAATACGTTTGCTCTTGCATTGTACGAGGGCGGGCGGTGCTTATTGGCTCGCCATATGCATGTGGCAGGGATCAGACCACACTCGTATGTATGAAGAGATCATCAGCGTAAGTAACTCGAGTACCAGCGTCCCATTCTGCTCCTCATTACCCACGGCCGACATCTGGCATGACGTTCAGACAAGGACTCTGTCAGACTCTGTCGCGCCTCGCCTGATTCTACTGGTGGAGCCCGGTCACGTGTCCAGGCAGGAGGGGCGGCCCGAGAGGTGGAGACCTGACGTGCACGTGAGGACTTCCTTCAGGTCTGTCCTTCAGCTACACAAGGAGTCTCTAACAGACACATGTCCGACTGACGGAAACTGTAGTGGGCGGCGTCAACAGGTATGGCTGACAGTCGGACCGCCTACCGCACACCGCCGGGAAATTAGCACCTGTGTTTATAAAGTGTGAGCGGCTTTACAAACTGCGGGATGCGGGCGCGTTGCTCGCACCTTGGGGACAACGAGCCCGGCCGGTGACGGTTTCCGTACGGCAGGGCTCAGTCACCGGGAGGTCTGCAGCCTCTGTACGGGCGCCATGAACAACACCACCGCCTTCCACCCGCCGCGGCACGCGGTGCCGGGCTGGGCCTTTAACGTGCTCGGCACATATGTTCTCTGTATCGGTGAGTAATTCTTGACATTGTCCATGGCTTTATTGGGCAGCTGTTGCAATCTAGCTGTTACCTAGATCTAGACCAACGGTCTTGTCTTTACGGTTGGTTACTGTGCTGTTGGTTTCCGTTTCAGATTATTCTATTCTACTCTACTCTATTCTATTCTATTCTATTCTATTCTATTCTATTCTATTCTATACTTTCTTCTTCTTACATTGGATTTCATGCATGCTTAGTACACACCTCTCTCTGTTTCTCTTCCTGCAATCATGCCTTTTATGACCAACGTCGAAACAATTTTCTCATTTCGAGCATTTCAGTTGAAAGAAAACACAAATGGAGGCAGATCCTACCTAGTTCATGCACATGTGAGACAGCTTGTGGTGACGTGAATGAGTGTAAGTCATAAAAGGTATTTGTCATCCCAAGCCGACAAGGTCTCTAAACTGGCAGTTTTAATGGACTACTCAGACTTACATGTACGTCTGGTTCAGTGGAAGGCAAATGTTATAGTACTGCTCACTGTTTCCCCGGCCGCCTGTAGACCCTCTGGTCTACCAGTCGTCAGCCTCAGGGTCAGGTCCCTCCATGCTGCACTATTCTATATCAAGTTTTCCACTTCCTCGAAGCCCCTCTGTTCTGTCTGTGTGACCTCTCTGATCTGATGTTCCCACCTCTACAACCTCAAAGTTCTGGGATAAATTGAAAGATAGGTAAATAGACACAGGCGCCTGGCGGTACCGAATGAGAAAACGCAACAGCTCGGTGTATTACGGGATGACGCACTTCAGCGTTAATAACCAAGGCTGTACAATAGACAACACTTTCTTGTGCCTGGTTCGCGTGGCGTTGGCGCTGAAGAAAGATTCCAGATTCCTGTTGCTTATGTTAAGTTATTTTCAGCTTCGGGATTCATCTTGTATTTCATCTGCCTCCGTTCAGCGCTTGATCAAACCGTATTCCAATCCAAGGTTAAAATGTCACGGCGTCTCCACACGTTTATGAAGTTTTCTAATAGTTCAAAGGGAATTGTCGGGGAAGAGACTTAAGTGTATTTTCATGTAAACTGCAAAGGACGTTTCTGATGACGCACATTGCTGGATGCTAAGGACTCTACAACTTGTAGCGCCGTTATCAGGATATATAAAGGGATTCATAACGTCCTATTGGACAACAATAAAGAACATTTTTCCACAACTTCCAGTTCTCAAAAGTCTTAAATCATGGAATATCAAGCGTTGGGCCATTCTAGGCTACAGACGTTTCTGAGTACCAATGCAGTGTTAAGTTAACCTTTGCAATTATCCTTGTATGACCTTGAAAAATTGGGCGGGGGGTGCAACAATGTACCGTTAATGACCGTGCTCGGAAGAGTCTCTCCCATATCAAACGCACATTGTCACCTCGTTGGGTGTCGTGTGTTAGGAAAAGAGGGCGGGCGGGTGAGAACATTTTGGCGACGGGTAGGTATGAAAAGGACAGGTACGAATGGTTTGAACTAAGTGCACCGAAGATTTGTACGTAACAGGCCATGTCTGAGCACGAGTCGTACAAAGTCAAGCTGTCTGGTTACGGACAAGGCCACCGTAGATTCTTGTCGGTGGTTGCTTCAAAATTTGACGACATTAAAATCGTACGACGGCCTACGTCGAATATTACCCCACAGTTAACTAACAACTGGTCCGTCCAGATTAGGGGACAGACAACGCTTTAACACCTGTTCTCAAACAACAGGGGCTTTTGACTCACTTTTTGGACTATCAAAAATTTGTCATCACTTCATTTGCGTATCAATAAATTGTCACAGCAGAAGTCAAAAGTCTCAGAAGAAGAAATAAAAGCTGCCTCGGCTAGTGTCTACCAAACTGCAGTAGCTCGTTCCGTCGGACCCATTTTGTACAACAAACAAAACCTTAACCTCATTTGGCGAGGCCGGTCTTTCAGTCTATGTATTTTCAAAAGTGAAGTCTGGTCCGAAGGATATGATTTTATCACATAGAAGAGAGGGGTAACGACGTGTTATTTCTGCCTTATTTAGCCATGGCGGACCAGCTCAGAGACTTTACACTGTATTTTAGTGCTGCACTGAACCATTTCAACCAACACCTTGACCTTTCCCGAGTAAATACTCAAAATCCTGTTGTGTTATAGGATAACACCTCCATGGGACAGCCGACGTCTCAATTGCGAAGGCTAAGTATAGAAAGTCTTCTCATGCTAACCTTTGGCAGACTTATCTTCCGACTAAGGAATATGACAAATAGAAAAGTTTTCAATGATTTGCCGCAAAAGCTTTGGCAAAGCTGGCCTATTGACAGGCGTGTGCGTGCTGTTGATGAAACTTTTTTTCGTGATCGTTTGTATGGCAGAATCCTTTCATCGGTAGCTGATACAGATGTAAATCAAAGATTGCGAAATGAATTATAAAAAGCAACAAATGCATCCCTATTTGCGTTTAGGAAATGCCAACAGGAAAGTAAGGACCACCCCCCCTAAACAACTTTGAGAGAAAATTTCAACAAAACTATGAAATTTGACAACAGTATGAATTTCTCTACAGTACTTAAGTGAATGCAATAGGATTATATATAGTCCATTTTTCATTTTTTTCCTATACATATAAACTATATTTTATAACAAAAGTTGTGCAAAAGCCACACCTTTCACGGTTCAGTGCTACTTCATGCCTAACACCTGAGTGGCACTTAGACACATCAGCGGCACGCGGTGAGCGCTAACAGCGCCATTACCCCGCCGGAGCTCAGCTGTGTTATTATACCGCTCACCATCCATGTCACTCAGCCCACTACACACTGTCCAACAACTCAGCTCGGCCGTGCGTGCGTGTGTGCGCAGATCAGGCCATCTCACCATCGGCTGCGGCTGCTTTATCAGGTGTAGTTAAATTTCCACCATAGAGCGATTCAACACTTACAGAACAACATAGTATTCACATTAACCCACACATTAAGGAGGAGCAGGATTAACTCAGTCTGTTGTGTTCTTATGATAAGAGACTTTAACTTGATAGAGGCAATGTTACCGGTGGCTCTTCTAAGTAGCATGAAAACTCCTAAACGCGATTCGATCAAGGTAACCTTGTAACGCTTACTGAATTAACAAACATGAACAGTGTATAAAAAAGAAATTAACTCAATCGCTTCTCTAGATTGATGAAGGTGACACAAATCCCGGGAGAAAATGGACTCATTCATAACCGCGTCCCGATTTGACCTGACACACGGGCATGGGACAAATAGATTTATTCCTGTCACAAATATATCACAATAGTTTGATTGTAGACATTTTCTTGTCCTGTTACTATGTTGTACCACATCATAATGCATCTGGGTGGTGCTCGATATATTTTGTATTACCCATGTCTTTACCTGGATGTCATACCTTCTGTTGTACCATTGTACCACAGCGTGCAATGCTATCCAGTACACAGGTAAACCCCGCCTAGCCTGGTATTGTTTTCACAGTAGGCAGCGAAGTACGTTTGGTAAGCAGATAGGAAAGAGAATTCATCCTAATTCAGAGTGGCTGCACAGAGCGCATGGAGAGTGAAACGATGGAACTGGAGAGTACGTTAGATCGACACACCACAGCAGCCTTATGGCTCTATCCACGGTGCTGAACCCATTGCTGTTAATTGGCAGCAAATTGGCAGCCTCTCCCGGATGGTTTGGATGGATTGCTTGTCCAAAATGTTTAGGTGTCTGATGAGGATGGAAACGGAAACGCACATCAATCAACTTTTGACTTGACAATGGCAAATTGTTGTAGCAGCCCAGTTTGCGAGCAAACTTTTGTTTCGCATAACCGGTACAGCACATTTAGGCGTGACACGTCAGGTTTGTAAAGTAAAAAGCACACGCTGCGCAATGCCGGTCTGTACGGGTTGATCCACTCACACGGGATGTATCACTTGAGATAAACCCGTACAAAACAAACGGTATCAGAAATACAATGACCATGGAGGCTAGGGAAAGATAACGCAGCTGACCATGACGATCAAAGAAATAAACAATGGAGCCTAATCCTATATGACATTCAGTAGAATTATGATGCACGTAGGCCTTTATTAATGACTACCTAATCATTTTCTACCAGCACTTCAAAGTTTTGGAGTGTAATAAACTTGGACAGCAGGGCACCCCTGAGGTGGAGCGACGAGGATGTTTGCGACAGTTAAGCGTTATGATTGTAATTCAACATGTCACTTGTTCCCAATTAGCCAGTTCAATGTCATGGAATTAACGAGGGGAAATTGCCAAGGACAAATGTGAATTTACACCACAGCTGTCAGAATGTAGACTGATACCATGTGGACGTCAGGTTGGCGAGATGGCCTTGTGCGTAGAGTTGTTGCCGAAGTTCTTGGTTCAAATCCCTGGCAGGCCTCAGTGATATGTCCTTGGTGAAGGTGTACTATTTCCTCACCCCGCTCAGGTATAAATCAGTAGCTAGTTTAGGCTACGAACGTCCTGTCGGATGGGATGTAAAGCGGGAAGTCCCGTGTTTGGGGAGAGCGACACCTCGATCGTGTTAAAGAATCCATCACACTTATCGAAAAGAGTAGGGGTCCTTCTCGGTGGCTCGAGTCTGTAAGTCTTGTTTCCAGATGGATATCTATGAAAGCTGAGTTACCTCGTGCGTCAATCCTTCCAGAAATCTAGTACCTCTCAATCGATCACAATCTATGTAACCCGTCTAGGCAGTAGTGAATCAAGTAACAACTAACTCAGTAAGACAACATGTCTGATCTTAAACCCAACCAAGCTAGCCGAAAAACCTTATTCATTTTTGAAATGCCTTACCCGGGGCTTCCCCCACTTTTTTTATTTCTCACTCACTCACTCACTCACTCACTCACTCACTCACTCACTCACTCACTCACTCACTCACTCACTCACTCACTCACTCACTCACTCACTCACTCACTCACTCACTCACTCACTCACTCACTCACTCACTCACTCACTCACTCACTCACTCACCACAGCCCCTTAGCTCGTCAGCCGTAGGGCCAGTCTGGCAGTCCACAAAATTCCTCCTTCTCTGGCGATCCAGCTATTTTAGTCCGTTGGGCTGCCGTCTCCCCTGACCACTCTTTATTTAATAGCAGCATATCAATAGTGAAGTTTGAACAAACACTACTCATTAACATTAAAAAAAACTAGTACAATCTGAGTGGTGCACGGCTGTTCTTTGCCTCTGATTGATGCTGACGTTTAGTAACCGGCAAATACGGCCCACACCACCTGGGAATACAGGAATAATTCCTCCTCCCGCCGTGTCATCATTACCGTCGGCCTGAGGGAGGAAGATGAAGTGCGGGCATAACCCCGCTATATTCCAGGTCAGGACCTATCCACCTGCAGGTAACACTCCGCTACTCCAGAAGGAGTGGGCTATTGCTAATCCTCAAGCACAGGTAGTGAAGAATGATGTCTGAGTGCTCCATTTTTCTTATGAGACAGCCGGCCCTGTTATAAGACTGTACGAAAGTCACGGAAATTTCAAGCTCCTCTCTTTTCCTTCTAATATCTGCTTGGACATTAGGGCTAAGTATCCTGATTCATAGCACATTCGTCAGAGGGAGAAGCGCACTACCCGTGCATGTTTGTATTCCTGGCAATCTGAAACAGTTTCGAACCTAACGACAATGAGTTCACAGCAGCAATATGAAAAGCAACGACTGGGGGCGGCGTTTGCTAGTTTTGTCCCAGGAAAGAACCACAACTCACCAAAAAAAAATAACTTTATTGCGCGAAGAACATGATAGCTGTAGCAGGTACGATGTATGATAGCGTGCACACATGTGTTGAAGTTTTGCTAATAAATTCTTATACTAATCTATTCTATAATTAATTAAGTCTAGTCTATTTCAGACATGTAAGAAAAGGTTTGGCCCGACCAATCTTCTATGTTGTGTATGGTCTATTTTCTCTTGACGATGTAAAAACCACAAAAATTTATTTCTAATATACAGAGGTAACGGCATGAGTATCAGTATACAGGCCTTCTAATGTTGGGGCAACTTGAAAAGCCTTCACGGATGCAGGGAATGACGCCACCTGCAGCTTTTTACCCGCGGTTCGGATGTGGTTTGATACATCACCGCTGCTATTACCAGCCAGGTTAGGGGCTAAGGTGCCATTTGTTACAGTTCATCAAAGTCTTCGAAGATCTGCTTTTTTGTACCGCGGGCAATTAATTACCATTTGACCAGACAATTTCTCACCTCGATGCGGCTACAGGATTTGGCGAATTGCTAGTTTCCAGTAATTGACTGTGTTATTATCTGTCACTGGCTGAAATCTTGGCTACATTAATGCTATACCACCGTCAATTTTTCAATCAATTTGCCACATTTCATTTGCAATCCCCCGCACAAAATCTTCTTGAAACGTGCGCCGCATATACTAATGGGTTTCTAAAGATACGTTTCGTCTTACTCACTGCCAAATGAGTCAATTTGTCCCACTTTTCTTCTTCCTGTTCGCAAAGTCTACAGAGTTTTCTTTTGAGCATGGGAGGACATTGGCGGTAGGCAGTGGTGGTTTAGGACAAAACAAAAAGAAAGAAAAAAACAAGAGAGAGAAATTCTTAGAGACAAACAGGTTTTAAGTGTCCTGTTATCGCTTATCACAAAACGCTTTCCCTTCACCTTCAGGATTATGCAATCTCATCGGCAACACGTTCGTGCTGCTGGTGTCGTATTACCGGCGCAAGAAGATCAAGCCTCCCGAGGTCTTCACCATTAACCTGGCGGTCAGTGACCTGATGCTGCTCCTGTGTGCTTACCCGTGGATGGTGGCGTCAAGCTTTAACCACGGCTGGCTGTTCGGGGACGCAGGCTGTATTTCTTACGCATTCTTCAGGTCTGTTTGTTTGAACGTGTAATTAATCAAATTAGCCTGCTGACCGAATGTTTTGTGCTGCACAGAAGGCAGCAATAGTATGACACTAGGACGGCTCATTTGTAAAACTGGCCTCTGCATCCTATCTAAATTTTTTTGCTACCCCCATTACCAGGCAGCCATGTTGATTCAGGCCTCATTGCCAAACATACATGTTGATTCAATCACTTTGTTCTTTCATCGGTAGAACAGGATAGATCAGAGATGGACCACAGCTAAGCTGACACATCAAAAGAGCCCGTTCTTACCAATTTTAATTAGTAAAACCAAAGAGTGGAATATTGTCTGATGAGCTTTGGGCAACATGTGGTCACCAAATCCATTTGCGATTAATGGAAATCTGAGATAGCATCACGAGAAGAGTTGAATGGTAAGATAAACCCATGGATAATCTGTTCCAGACATCAAAGACAAAGTCATAATCATATTTTCTTTCAGTGACATGTCAAGATGACTACAGAGCTGGTACATATTCCAGTGGTTTATTGATTGAAATTCCCCGGTTTATATCATCCACCAAAACGTGTAGAGTTTTGTTGCATGGATGCGGTGTAATTAAGCCGCTTAAAAGCGTATTACCGTAACTTTTCTAAGGAGAAGGCGACAGCCTAAAAAATCACGATGACCATTATTGCTGCGATGTGACTTTACAAGCCATATTCAGTTGTGTGATTTATTGCGTATAATGCAAAATGTATGTGCATGAATGTTAACGTTTGCTTGTAAGTGGTTTTCGGCTATGGATTAAGTAAGACTCCTGTGTTGATGTACTGACAGGTTCATGCTGGGCCTGGTGAACATCGCCAACATCACTGCTCTGGCTTTGGTTCGGTACCTGAAGGTCTGCAGGTCAAAGCAAGGTACGTTTTTATTATCTGTGATGATTCCCATTAAGACACAGACAGGATGACCTTTTAGCCCAAATCCTATCGTTGTTTTAGCATGGAAGTTCATCTGTGTTGGTACAAGTCATTATGCCATAAAGACTAAGCTTTAACCTCCAACACTAACTACCAAATTGCAAAGTATTGGGACGTCCCAATACTTTGCTAGATAGTGTTGGAAGTTAAAGCTTAGTCTTTATTTCCTATTGTTGTTGGCTAATCTTGGCAAAGAGATGTCATCCAAAACCAAGTTAATAAACTTTCCTGTCCTAAAAAAGGGGGTTTAAATATTCGTACTCGCCTGTTATTTAGACACTTCAAATCAATCTTTATTGCGCAACAATTGCAATGGATACAATGTATGGCAAGTGTTTAAATCAAAAGATAACAACAATACTAAAATCTAATACTAGATACCTTATCAAAGTACACGCAGACGTTTGGGTGAATACGTCTTCTTTGGTCACGATAACAATTGGTGAGAAAAGAGACGCGTTCACTTGAATACTGGCACCTCTACCGTTTTTTGACCCCTGAGCGCCCGTTAATATATAATTCTGTAATAGATGGATTGCCATATTAGGCCCCATGAGACTTGGTCGTCAGTCATTAAAAACGTATCAGTAGTTACATGATAGGGGCATTCATCCGCAAGATCAGTTGGTAGGGCTGTGTTCAGTTACGAGATATCCCATCAGCAAAGTAACCTGTGTGCGATTTAGTGCATAATGTACATAATGTGAAAACGAAGTCCAAGAGATACTTTCTCCAACTTAGACCTGCACTTGGAAGATTCTTCACTAAGTCAAGTGTTACGACCTTGACTAAAGCTATTTCACTCACTGAATCAAGTACAGTTGCATGTTTAAGTGACATTCACTTAATGCGCAATCCCTGGTTATCGAAGCTTGCTGCTGACGGGAGATTGGTCGTTAAAGGGCACTCAGAGTCTCGAGTGTGAATCCAGATGTAAGCTTAACCCATAAAAGCACTTCAAACATGAATTTCACAGTGAAGGTCACAGCAGTGATGTGGATAAGCTGCCCGCCGATGTCAGTACGTCGGCTTACACGAGCCTTCTACAGCTACACACATCTACAGGCTACTGGACACAGCCCCTCGCGGGGTATTACGTCCAGCGAGAAGAGGTCCTTGCCCTGGGACGACTAGTGTCGGTGGTGCCTTCAATTGTCTGCAGGCCCCTATTTGCACCCTTTCTAGAGAGCTAGAGAGAGACTTCGTAGTTCGAAATCTGATCAAGATAACCACCCTATGCTCTACATGGTTTTACATTTTATCTCGATTACCGCTATCGGTTAAAGTATAAATGTTTGTATATGTGTATTTGTAAGTCTCCTTCTCAGTACTTTTCCGACATGTTCAGGATCACAGTCTAAGTTATAGGAATGCAACAAAAAGAAATATCAGTCGGCTGGCATGAGCCACACCAGTCGGCCTGCATAGGACGTTAATATGAAACAGAGGCAGCACCAAGATTGAGATTCAACCCAGTATTCATTATTCCATACCTTATCATTATCTAACAGTAGACTAGACGTTTAAACAGCGGGTTCAGATATGCGTGGCTTATACGTGATGAGTTGCTTGATGTGAAATCATCAGCCACCTAAAGTGGGTCTGTCAAGTCGATATATGGTAGGCCGAAGGGCTCATTAATGCAGACATAGCGGCCTAACGGATAAACTCATATCACTCTAGATGACTTTCCCGTCAATTTAGAAGGTCAAACGGTCTGATGACCATTGATTCAGCAATGAAAGTTCGTACTTCTACACAGCACGTCTCCCCTTGAACAGCCTGTTTATTGACTAATGGCTTGGAACTATTGGAACCCGTCAAACACTTGCCCATGGCAAATACTAGTACATCTTAATGTCACCTATTAGGACAAAAGGAGCAGCTCTAGCGATCCGGGCAAGATGGCAGCAGTGCAACCGATAGAAGTCTAAATCTGTAACTCAAAATGTCTACAATTCACTTTCCGCCGAAAATGTGCAAGTAAAAACCTGTTAAGATTAAAACCCAGCCTAAACAATGAAAACACGATAGAAATCTAAATCACCGCCATTTCAGCACCAAGGACAGAGCACGTCAGGAAAGCACATGTGTTTCCGCCTGGCGGCGCACGCCTGTACTCCAGGTGACCCATCTCCTCCAGGCTCCTGACTGACAGGTAGAACTGGGACAACCCGTAATGGGAAGCACAGCTTGCCCCAGCAGGCCCTGACCGTGTTAATCAAACCTAACGGCTGTCTGAAGAATTGACGATCAATAGAAGAAGACAGGTGGCCGCACAGCGCGATACAAGCCTCATCCACCCGGCTTAGCCGTGGAAATAGTCAATACCCGAAATTAATCCCTCTGTTTTTTAAGTGGTGATAAAATTGCTCGTTGGAATCTGCGCTGAATCTCTTGATCTTCATGATGACAAATGGTTAACGCTAGCACCACAAGAAGGAATCCATTGACACTGAAACGTACAAAGAAAACACTATCATGTTGAATTCTGTTTCTTCATTACTTGCGTTATGGCCTACATTGTTGCTTGTGCGGTTGAATAAACATGTTCAACAAGCTATTTGAAATGTCTCCTAAAATCGGTCTTCAAAATAAATGAATAATGTTTCTCCAACGAGGCGAGCAAGGAAGTTTTGTACTTTTCAATCCCGATGCCCTTTTGACAGGTTTACGCGAGGAAGTTGGCGCACAAAATTTAGCCGTGTTAGTTGGAAATCGGACAAAACTGTAGTTATTTTCATAGCCAAAAAACAATCTCAGCAATGAACGTGACCGATGGACGGAGACAAATGTTTCCATGTTTGTCGTTCCAGTGACGGACATGTCGTGGACGTCAGCATGGCTGAGCCTGGCGGGGACCTGGTTGTTCGGAGCCTTCTGGGCGCTGATGCCGGTGTGCGGCTGGAGCCGGTACACCCGGGAACCGTTCGATGTCGCCTGCACGCTGGACTATAAAACCGCGCAGGACAGCCGCGAAGGTAAATAGACACAATCCTTGGTTTTCAGAAGTTTGTTTTCTTTTTTGTAGTTTCCACTGAATCTCTAATTGTTTACATTTCTCATGCTAAAAATAACATCGCCGCACATTTTCTGTGTGACCTCAAAGAGATCACCTGTGATAATAATGGATCACTTGAGCAACCCACGTATGTAAGTGAGATGAGTGGGCCTTGATTTTGTTATTATTCTCAATCCTTTGAAGAGTTTCAGTATTGTAGCATCTTCCATATGATTGCGTGTTACTTCCTGATTCTTTATCCCAACATTTATGTGTTGCTTCCTGACATTTGCGAAAAGCTACAATCTAACATATGATATATCACAAAAACACGTAGGCGGCATCAAAACGCTGACAGGAGCGGCTGACGAACCCTGTAATCTGGTGACTCGAAGTAGGTCAGACCTCGGTAGGATGATCGAGGCTCCCTACGGGGAGGATCAGTGGCTTCCGATGTAGATTGAACTGCTGGGACTGAGTAGAGACCCCGCAGATGATTCCCCCTGATGATAGCTAATGATAAGATAAACGTGTCACTGGGGACCGACAAGCATTAAGTACACCCGGAGTACATCAGGAGGCAGAGATGCCGTGTTGGCGTGAAGGGCGTCTGTAACGAGGCGCACAGCTCGGGGCACGATACGAAATTACGAGTTCGCGAGCAACGCACCAACATTATTTTGAATGTGTTGCACGTCTGGTCATAGACGTCGTTCACACTAAGAAATCTGTATGTACAAAACTTCTTGTCCAATGTCTTTCCTCTGGAACAGTTTCATGATAACACCTGTATCTCAAATCTGGAGCTGCGTTTTGGTTGGTGTGCTCATCATTTTATTTTGTTCACTCAAGAAGTTAACGATGGGTTTACTGCTAGTTTGTGGATAACCTGTTGACTAATATTCCCGACAAGGCGCGGCCTTCATGATGACTCTGTTCGCCTTCTGCTACTTCATCCCTGTCGCCATCATCACCTTCTGCTACATCTGCATCGTCCGCACCGTGCGCTCCTCGCGGCAATCCCTGAACTGCAGCAACTCCAGCACGGACGACAAGCGCGGGGCAGAGAAGAAGTTGACTAAGGTCAGTTTTTATCTTTCAAATCTAGTTTTTATTTTGCAGCCTTTGTTGTTGGCCTGTCAGTTTCTGTCTGGCCGTCTGTCTCTTTATTTTTGTGCGCGTGTGTGCTGCACAATGCAATGTCCCCATACACCCTCTGTGTTATTACCTTCGCCACGAAGCTTAAGGTTATGTATTTCGTAGTGGTTCTATGTGTGTATATGTATGTACATGTATGCATGTGTGTGTGTGTGTGTGTGTGTGTGTGTGTGTGTGTGTGTGTGTGTGTGTGTGTGTGTGTGTGTGTGTGTGTGTGTGTCTCTCTATCTCTCCCTCTCTCTCTGTTCGTGTGTGTGTGTGTGTGTGTGTGTGTGTGTGTGTGTGTGTGTGTGTGTGTGTGTGTGTGTGTGTGTGTGTGTGTGTGTGGTAGCACGATAGTTGACAAAAAGTATGGATAGGTTGTCATACAGTATGCGGTGTAGAATCCTCTTCTTATAATACTAATAACACACTATATGTACTTTCAGGAAGCGATTTTAACCATCGTTAACCAAGTCATTCAGCGTTTCTGATAACATTGCTGTTAATGTGATGTCTGATATTGTCAGCAGTCGTTGTGAACATTATGCATTACGTACGTCCGGGAGGTTTGAAATCTCAGATTTCTTGTTCCTGTCTGTTTCCTTCACAGATCGCGGTGATGGTGGGTGTGGGATTCATCCTGGCCTGGACGCCGTACTCGCTCGTCTCGCTGTACGCCACGTTCGGCGACCTGCCGTCCCTACCGGTCATCCTCAGCATCCTGCCCAGCATGTTCGCCAAGTCCGCCAGCATCTACAACCCCATCATCTACTTCTTCATGAACGACTCCTTCCGTCGGGACGTCACCGCCATGATCAAGTTCAGCATCCCCAAGCCGGGATCGACCACAGGTTCGCAGAGCGCATGGGAGAAGACTCCGACCGGCCGACATCTCACCTCCCCGCAGCGCCTCATGATGTCCGAGATGGGCTCGTCCAAGCGTAGTGATTCGCCAGCCAAGACCACCACCACCGCACTCGTCACCCAGGTGGACGGGCACGAAGCCCCATCTACCTGGGTGTAAGGTCTCTGGCACACCGTGTCTGGCACGCCTACATTGAGGTTTGGGTCCTGTCACACTTTTGTGGCATGCTTGTTGTATGGTCCATTCAGAAACATGTTTTGGAATAACACGGTTTGGAATGAAATACAGGTCCTTACATGTAGCTGGGTGTAGGGACCACATGATGCAAAGATGGTTCATATTGCGACTGCAACGCGTGACCCCGGGTCACCTGCATGGGATCAGTGATGGACCAGAGAAAAGACTAGTACCACAATGGTACCCTGGTTACCTTGGGTAAAGATGGTTGGACTTCGCTAAAAAGCAGTTACTCAAGCAACTAGATATGATTTTGGAAACGGTCAGATGGCAACAACACACAACAGTGTGAATAGCCTGTAACTTAACCCGCTTCCTGCGCTCTAAGTTCGGCCTGCAAACCGCAGGTTGTAAGCTTATAAGTACAACTTGTTGCTTGTGTCTCTCTTCTCCACCCGAGGCATATGTTTGTTAGCTAGTAGCTCTACCTTTAATCCAGTAACAACGTACCTTGTGTACAGCACTAAGATCTAGGCTGAATGAACACGTATTTATTACTCAGGACATTGCCGTTTGATCCACACATACGTTGTGCGATCGTAAACGGGGCATTCTTTGGATCTTGTGTCCTGCAGAATTTATCTGTCTTGTTACAGAACAAGCTGTGGCAGTACCAGTCCTTGTGAGTGGTTTGTTCTTTCACATCCTGCCATAGAGTTGTACGGCATCAAATCGTATGACGTCCTAGGACGAATGTGACCGCGCCATAACCGTTATGTCGGCTCATGGCAGGAACTCCATGGCCAGTTCTGTATTCAACTAGAAATACTCTTATTGTCACTGATATATGGTAATCAAGTAATAAGTACCGAATGTGATTCTATCAAGAAAAATTATGTATATATACGAGTAACACGTTTTGGTGTTTGCCTGTGTGAAAGTTACCACTATTGTTTATGGACTTTCAACGCTTTGACTCCTGTATGTATAAAATATTTAGTTGAAAACGACCTTTAATTTTCCAGCCTGTGGTTGGGAGTTAGTCGTCAGCAATTAAAGATCGTCTGTGGTTGGGAGTTGGTCCGCTAAGTTGCCTACTAGTCCTCAAAAGTCGTCTGCGCCAGCCAACTACGAATTCTAAAAAATCAAAGTCGGAAAAGTCATATTCTGTTTGGATGAGATCAGAAAAGTGACTCGAGCTACAAAGTATGGATTTCAGGCTATTCTACTCACAACCCAGAGCCGACCTTGGTTGGGGAGTGGCCGGGGGAAATGTCGAAGGAAATCGTTTTTGAATGTGTGACGGGGGCTTAGAAACTGCTGTACAGAACAAGGAAAACGTCATAGAAGCACATATGGACAGTATTCAGTTGACCAACGCAAGTGCGTGACCTTGCTTATAATCACTATCATGCAAGATATACGATCAGTATTCAGTAATTTTCTCAGTCTTTCTGAATAGGCAACTGTAAAGGCGATACGAAAAACCTGCCCTTGTATGTGGCAAGAATCTACACAACGTAATGACCACACACGTTTAAAGCTGGAACGTTACATATGTAAGGCCAATAAGAAGTACATTGTATTACAACGTGATGATGACAATCAGTACTAAATGCAGTACATTTTGTGTATGTTGGACGTTCTTGTGGAGACTATAGACACCGTTGTATCTATTGAATCGTAATAATTCATATTTACCTGAGCATGGAGAAGTTCTCCAATGTCGCTATATTGTCTGTAAAGTTGTGAAGATAATATATATAGATGATGGCAAAGAAATGGACGGACAAATACCTGATTTACTTCATTGTTTAACAATCAATCTGGCGTAGAAGCTGATATGTAAGCAATACAACTGCTAAGTACGAATTAATTGCCTTCTTACCTACCAGGCTACCTGGACCTGACGAAACTATGGGCTTGATATATGATAATTACCTGTGAACGATAGAATATGTAAATATTGTAGAGGAAAAGCAGAGGAGGATAAAATACACTTTATTAGCCATTGCCTTCACTACAGCACCGACAAATTATTTGAACTACTCATTAAAATGTCTCCCAGCTTTATACGTCTTTCCAGTCTACAAAAAACTGCCTTTAATTTTCTACTAACACCCCCCAATCCACCTATCTCGTAAAACGTCAGGCATTTCATTCTCCACTGCATACAAAAAGGAAATCAAACCCAGCAGTAACATTAGAAGAAGCGTTAGTCGAGAATTGTCGACTTACTTTAATGTTCATTTTATCGTTTACTGTTATCCAATACATGCTTGCAATTACATTGTAGCCCTCAGGCGTGAATTTGCGACAAAGTTATTAAGACAACAGCGTACATCTTACCACTGTGAAGTTGACTGTTCGTTACCCTTGGAATCAGGAAAGGGAATTTACTGACATGGGCATGCAAGAACTGTAGATAAGTTAACGAAGCTCATATAAACAAGTCAATAAAATAAAAGCACTTTACAGATTACTGTTCAGCAAGTGTTTTATGAAGGTAACGTTATGGATAATTGAATGGATGAGCGAATAAATGGACGTATTATTTCTGTACACATTCGTAGGAACTTTATTTTGATGTGAACTTCAACTATAATGATTAATGTCTAATAATGAGAGGCAAGTATCAAATAATAGTTTCATAACCTAAAAGTAAACCTGTTAACTAATGACCTAAACATACATGTACTAACCCCATGATGCTACATGTACATGTATGCTCAACCCCCAGTGGTCAAATTGATCAGTTAACTGATAACCAACCATAAAATCAAGCTTGTGACAAAAATCAGGACTCACCTACTAACTCACTAATGCACACACTGACTCACTCACTCATCACTCTCACTCACTCACTCTCACTCACTCACTCTCACTCACTCACTCACTCTCACTCACTCACTCACTCACTCACTCACTCACTCACTCACTCACTCTCATTGTCCAACGAAGTCCAGATAAATCTTTCAACTTCTCTTTATTCCTTGTTTTCACAACTTCCTCTGTCATGACAAGATGGTTTACGAGACAATAGAACAACACTGATATGTACTTTACAATTGCAGACAGACAAGGCAGCCAGCAAAAAAGTAAAATTATCCTTCATATTTACATTAGTTCACGTTAGAGCTTGGTACATGGACGATAGAACTGCACAAATGCTAGTCTTTCCCCTTCAATTGCACATATTATCATTGGATGTGTCAGAATTCCTTTTAAAGTGATTTGAGTTCAAATAAAAAGCTGACGACTCCTTTGCAGATAAGCTAAAAGTTTGTACACACATGGTATTATATATAAGTGTACTCTGCTGCCCTCAATGCTGATCTACAGTACAAAATGTGTTAACAACATTACTTATTACAACAAAAGCATTACCAATGATTCCAAATTGCATGTACACCAATTACACTAAAACAGAATCTTCTTCTGGAAAAAAAAAGAAAAATCAACTGTACCAATTAAATAGTTACATCATTAACAAATCATGTAAATTGCACAACTTGAAACATACTACCTATAGGGGGTGATGTGTAAAAATTCCAGTGAATTGGAACAAATCCCCACAATGCACCAATGTATTGTATAGTATCATGATACTCCTGATCCACAAGTCCAGAGTCTAGAGCTTCTTTGTACAACTTAGTCCCACTACACCATTCCATTGCACATGAGATGGTAAGATATGCATAAAACTGGCATCTTGTGACAGTACTGAAATAGTTAACACTGCCTACTTTAAATCAAAAGATATAGAAGAAAATGCTTGAATCTTTATCAAATAACTCTGACAAAACATAAAACTTACTGACAAAAATACATGTAAAGATACCATCAAATAGACACACTTTTCAAACGTTTTTAGTTGTATTTGTTTATAAGGAAATATTTGGAGTACTCAGAAGTAAATATATGTAGAATATTTACTACTTAATCTATGAGGGAACCCTGTGAGAACCCTACTCAACTGTTACAATCTTTCTAATGATTCAGGCTAAAATGAAGTCCTCTCATTCAATAGACCACATCCATAATTCCACCAGTGCTTTTTGTGGGTCATTTTTGGAGATAAAAGTGTTGCTTTAGCAGTAAGCAGTTTGGTGTGGAAACGATGCTAGAACCTCTCACTACCACAAGTTGCAGGTCAAAATCCTACTCCAAATGGGCTCCGAAAACCCACAAACTTTCTCAGCACTCCAAATGCAGAACTGCCCAGTTCTTGTTGACATTTCCACTGGGGACGGAGCATTGTCAGATGTGGTGAAGTCTTATTTTATGATTGAGGGGATCACGTCTGATACATATACAGATGAGGATGGGGGGATACAGGGATGTGGACTCTGAACCAATCCTATTACAGCATTTTAGCCTTCTCCCTGCTGCCTAACCCTGCAAGTAATACAACAGTGGTGCCAGAAGGCTGGCTTAGTAGGGAGAAGGTTAAACTCTGTTGTCAGCTCATCCTTTAGCAAAAAGGAGACTCTGATTGCCAAGGTCAAGGGCAAGAACACCCCAGGCAGCAATCTGCAAGATACATGACTAATATATAATTATATATATATATATACCTACAGAACTCTGATGAGGGGATCATCTAAATTGCACATTTGAGCAGAAAAACCTCTCCATTTTTGTTTTTCTGTAAAAATAGCCTTTAAGCTACACCAGTACACCACGGAGCTAAACGTTTTCCTACTACGGTGACCACCGTCCCGGGTTGCCATGTGTGTACAGGCTGCATAGCTGGCCCCCTAGCGGCTTTCACAACGTCTGCAGGAGGTTGTCCCTGTCTGGAAGGAGGCGCCACTTGAGCGTGCCGTCCGCCCCGCAGGAGAACATGTGATTGGTCGGCCCCAGGTGGAGCTGCGTCACGCCGGCGCCCAGGTTACGGAAGATGGACGTCCGCATGTGCTCGGCGGGGAAGGAGTACAGTAGGTTGTGCACCAGCAGTCCCCACACCTGCAGACGGTAGGAGCAATCTGTCAGTCATTCAATCAACAGACATCAATCAATCATACAAGTACAGCACATTGTGCACCAGCAGTCCCCACAACTGCAATAATCAATTCACTCAATTCATCATTCAATCAATAAGATCACTAAGAAATACAGCCAATTCTACATGTAAAACCTGCAATGTTAATTACATCAATCAATCATTAAAAATAGTACAGCTGGTTGTGCGCTAACAGCCCTCATGCCTGCAATAATCAACAAGATCAATCAATTAGTACAGCAGTTTGCACACCAGCAGCAACCAGACCTGCGACAATCAAAATAAACCATAAGATTCAAGTAAATTGTCAATCAATCAACCTAACATGCAATCAACAGAGTTTTGAATTTACTAGGACAGAGCACTGTGTACTGATTTCTGTTTCAAGCCTAGAGTTTCATTTACTTGCAGTCTTACGTGTAGTTTTCTGCTCACAAAACTTGCTGCTGTTGCAGCACACATTTCTCAGTTCTGCAGACCCATGACGTTCATTACTCTCGCTGTGATACATGACTCAGATTTCCCTACTTTTCATTAGAACAAAGAAAGAGCCTCTTGAGAAGTCTTTAGTTAACGCCTTCAGATAACAATCATAAGTCTTATATATTCTGTGCTTCCCTTTCCTTTGTAAAAAGGATCAAATTGATGATCCTATAGCAACAGAGACAGATGCTTCACAAAAACAGTTAAAGCTATCTGTGACAGACAAAAACAGACAATACACCATAGTTTATTGTTACTGTAGAAAAGAGCCATGAATGTGTATGTCACAACTTCTACAAATCAAAGGCAAAGAAGTCAGCAACTATACATATTAGAGGTTGTAAGGTTTTGAACCACATTGGGAAGAATCCCTACTCTTTTCGACAAGTCTGGTGTGTTTTTTTAATGTGCTTTAGGTGAAGCTATCCTTCAACAGAAGACCTCCATTTGATGTCTTATCTGGGGATGTCTCTAACTGAAGCTACATGTGTAGGTAATCATTTTGAACGGAGTGAAGGGAGGAAATCTGTTTCAAGTGCCTTTCCCAAGGGCACAACCTCGAGGCATGTGAGGGATTTGAGTGTAGAACCTCTCAATTTCAGTTCAAATATCCCACCCATTTGGCCACACAGCACTGTTATCCTGCATTCTGGTCTACAGGTTGACATCTTGAAAAATGATGTCATCTGTAAGAATTATGTCAATCCTTCCACAAATGTGGTAAATCATAATAAACACACCATTGCCTGGCCTACCCCATACATCACACCAACATCACCAAGTCCATCGCTCCTCTGGGACTGAGTTGATCTCCATGCAGTGCAGCAGTGTAGCAGGTGTAACATGAATGATAGGGACAGTGGGGCCATCATAAGGGTAAGTAGGATGATGTGTGCTGGTGGGACATTCTGTCTCTTCTGATTGACCTGAAACCCAGTTGAAGGTTCTGGGTTGAAATCTCTAATGGGCACAGAGCCTTCAGGACAGCTGGGACCTGGTTATTTGTATGCTCCACATAACTGCTAAACCACCTCTGGACGTAACACGCCGGTTTTTATAGCAAGTACAAGCTGTGGTCTGCTCCACTTACACCAGGACGGACCCTTATTCTTTTCAATACTAATAAGAAGAGTGATCTTTGATGTGCTCAAGGTGCTCTCCTCAACCTTAAGTTTACAACCTCAGTCACCTTAGACACCTAAAACTATTCCCCCGAAAAAAGGTACAAAATTTAATGTATATATCGACAAGATGTGTCTCTTTCTGGTGACGTACATGTATGTGACCCTGTTTTGAGCAGACCCATTCTCAGAGTATTTTGGCAGTAGTCTATCCTGAATGGCACTATTCTGTTACTAGCAGGGCCAGCGAGTCAATAAAAACTCACAGCATACAAGAAATATTACCTGAGAAAAAAATGTTGGGTTCACTAACCATTGCTCCTTTACTAAATTTGTATCACTTGAGAAATTACCATAAATGTTATAAATGTAACCTATATATATTTTGGGGTGGTTGGGAACTCTGCTCCATGGTTCAGAGACCTCCATGGCTGTTATTTCCGAACAAACAAGAGCTAGTTATTCTGCCCAATAGACATTCCCCATGTCACCTTTACAGAGAAATTACGATGCAGTCTTCCTCCTGAGAATGGTGACAGATGTGACCAGCCATGTTACTTGTCAATGCACAGCTCCTCTTGTTGCTTCATTTGGACCTATTACTTCCCTCAACAACATCTCTGCCTCTGTTCTCTAACAAGATGAAATATAACAGGTCTCTACATGTGGCCGGCCATATCACTTATCGATAAACAACTCCCATGGCTTCATTTGGACCCTTTAGTTCCCCCACATGTTCTAACAAGATGAAGTATAGCACAGACATGTAGGCTGTAGATTTACTCCTGACAGACCACTAGCTGGACTAACCTTCTCACATCAGTTCAATTCTGCAATCTGTTAGTAATACCCAGTTACAGGAGGTCCCAGGGTAGAAATAATACTTGTCTTACTCAACAGGTTCTGTCGTTCATCTAGTAGTGGCTCCCCAGGCACTTCAACAAACACCCACAAAGTTGGCTAAAACAAAGGAGGTTCAAAATCAAACCTTCTTGCTCAAACAAAGATTAAAGTCAAACTTGAGACAATACAGCTTGATACTTTAAAGTAAACTGGCTTTTTCAATACCCGAGGTTGCATTGTGAAAGCACTATGGATGGCTCTGGTCACAACAGTCTATCTGTCAACAAACATGAAAAACTGACACTCATAGAATTGGAGCCAGAAATTAAAAGTTGTCCACTCCTTCAGCCTGTCATGGAACACATTCTCTGTGAGTGGGTATGAATGTCAACAAACAAGTCTTACATTGTACAATGCAGCTGACCAGGAAGTGCTGAACTGGTTGCAGGGTAACAACAGAATATGATGATGACAGACGTGACTGCACCTTAAGTGAGCAACCCTTGGGGTAATCCACTCATTTTTTCATCATTAAACATTCTGCCAGACAAGGAGGTCAATGATTTAAGCAGTACAGAGTCCATCCCCCTGGTTGGTTAGGTATGCAACCTTTAATCCCCTCAGGTCATGGGGTCAAGATATCAACCTACTCTTCATTATATGTATACATTATATCATCAATAATAAAAGTGGGACATGTTTGAAATTTTCCATTTTTCTTAATACTACTTTCTTAAAGTGCCATACCGGCAGCTCTTTCAAACCATGTTCAAAATGTGATTTTTTTTCATTTTAGGACTACAATTTCCAAATAGTTGTGAAACTTTGAGTGTTTGAATGTAAATAAGCTCTAGATACCAATCTTATGAACTGTGTCAAATCTAGTCCAATCACCTGACCATGATGAGTATCCGTGTACAGGCTACGGCAAACTGTTCTCTTAGTGCAGACTAACTCCCCTGGCAGATCATCTGTCTATTTGGCCAATTTCTACTTTTTCCAGCCGCTTCCCAAAGCCTGGTTGAGGCCAGCCTTCATCCACTTATTTCAAAAATGAACCAAACAAACCAAACGTGACATTTTGAGCACCAAAGCCTGGCGAAAAATGAAAACGGACGGGCGATTTTTAAACCGATGCAGAGGCCAAATTGCAGCTTTGCCAGATGTCAGATGTAAACAGGAAGGAGTGATACAATCTAACTGGGCTTAGTAACTGTGCCTTTGATAAGGTCTGGCCAACTGCTATCAGTGGCTTGGTGAGACATTCTTGTAGTGCTTGGTGGACATCATCCTCTTCTTCATTGTCAAGATTTAACCTCAACCTCAAGGAATGATCCTTGCAACATGTATACAGTAAAATGTATAAGGAAACTTGGACAGCAAATCCTAATATGTACACAGAACTTTTGTTGTAATGTTACATTACAAGTCTGAGATACATGTAAGTCTGACAGAAGAGATGTCAAGAACAACAGGCAACTCCTGTCCTCAGAAACAGGGAAAGACAAACTGCCTCTGCTCATATATATCTACAAATCAATAATTCACACAGCTAAAAGTCTCCCCCTGATGCTGCTGTAATCAACTTTCCAGACAGTTGGCAACCAGGTGGGATAGTGGCTCTTTTCAAATGGCAAAACTGTCTTTCTTGACAGAGGATTCCTAACTGGATCATAAGAAGACTAATCAACTATACAACTTTAAAAAGCGGACTGAGGACAAAGCCTGACACTTTTTCACTGGCAAATTGTGCAAAGCAGCTTCTCTACAGTTCACATAATGATTTTGCAAGTTAGCAATTCAACAGAGTGCTGTTATTTCTTCAATAACAACACTCCTTTGCCATGTATCAGGTTCTGAAAGTTTCCAAACTATTTATCTGGCTCAAAAGTTTATACAATCTGTGATTTTTTAAAGGTGAACAAAGCAGGGCCTAAATATGGAAATGTTTTCATACATACGAACATGTACATGATTGTGTAGATTTCTTACTCTAACCTACATGAATTTTGTACCAACATCATACTTTGATTGTCAATTTAGACTTTGAATTGACTGAAGTTCTCAACATACATTTAGAATACCTTAAGTTTACTATTTTTCACTCTGTGAAAGTGTAAGTTACCAGTAACACTAGTACTAGACTAAGTGTATCAGATTGTAGTTTCTGGTTGGTCTATACAGCCACTAGACTTGACATTATATCATCATATATCATTATGCCATATATCATAATCATCATCATCATGATACCCAAGAAAACACAGATTTCAAGGCAAATTGTCACAGATCCATTTTAAGAACCCACCACACTCGTCAAACTAAGAGATGACTGCTGATATAGAACATAGATGAGAAAGTTTCCGTGTCATTGACATTCAAACTTAACTTCTAGTTAATATGACAGATTGCCTGTCACAGATGTCCATAGACTGCATTATACTATAATAATAATTCCACTTCCAAGGATGAAACTAACGTCACTGGCACTCAAGGCCAAGTCCTACAGGAATAAATCCCTTCCAATGGATGGGTTTAATGACAGGATGAGACAATTTGTTGAGACCAATTGTGATGTACTCATTCTCATAGGAATCATTTCAGCTGTAGCAAACTGTTCTCAAGTATATCAATTAGCTTTGCTTCCATACAAAAGGGAGGGTTGGGAACCAATTATGCCTCAGATATACATTAGGCCACAACAAGTTTGTTTCAAGATCATGATATAAAAGTACTGCTAATCCTTTGGGAACCAATTAATGCCTTAACTTACATAAAGTTGATAAACCCAAACCTTTGAAACCTACACAACTTTATCTCCACCAGTAATCTGGGCTAAGCCTGCACCTGTCTTACATGTGGACATCTGACCATAACTCAGTAACTTACAAAATAACTCATATTGATTATACAAAGTCTCTGCAGGGGCCTCTGATATACTGAGTGAAATGTAATTTTTATTAACTACCTGCAGCCTTCGGAGACAAGACATCAGCAGATCTCAATGAGGAAAGTAGAAAACTTGAGAAACTGTTGCCAGCAACTTCAAGATCTGGAATGCATCATTCTGTGCAAGAACCTCAGTCTTTAGCAATAGTTTTTTTAATATTGCCACATTGGCCTGAATCAACAGGTGCTAAAAAGCTGATGGAAAATGTGACAGTACTGTGAGTGTATAACTGTTTTCAGTATGTACATGACAACTTAATCTAAAGTCTGAAAAGGACATCTATACACTGTTCTCTGATCTCCATGTAGAACCAGGGAAGAGATCTGGATACACCTGTAGAAAAATCTTCAGATCAGGAATCCATTCGCCCTTTGTATCTGGCCCTCTGCCAAAGAACAGTCTGCACAATGCATTAATTTTGTAACTACAGTATTAGAAAAATAAACACTTTTAGCACTCTACTATCTCTAGTAGCTGTTTGGCTACTAATGATTGGTTACCAAGTTTGGCAACAGAGAGATGCATGGAAATGTATGCTTGTCTGTGAGCTTAACTGGGCCAGTATAGGAACAGGGCTGAAAGAAGAGCAGGTACATTGTGCGATGTCAGCTGTACAGATTTCTTCTACATGATAAAAATATTTAAAAAACATCCTGGTATTTAGAAAAATAGACCTTAAGACAATTTTTGGGCTTTAAGAAATGCTTCCAATGAAAACTGCACAAAGAGCAATCAGCAACCTGTTAGTTCATACTAATGACCACAGGCTTGCACTTGGAAAATGCCTTAGACTATAGTGGGGCAGCCATGAATAAATGTGACCTGAACAAAAAAATTTAGGCTTTTGAATTAAAAGAAGAGAGCCTGAAAGTCAATTATTATCAATCTGTCCACTGATCAATCAACATCACAGATTCATAGACAGCTCCTGAAACCAACAGAAAACCTATGATTGTTTGAGCATTACAGATTTAGTTGTCAAAATGAAGTTGATATCACAAGGTTGTTTACCTTGACCTCTCCATCTACAGACCCCGTAACAAAGAACTCTTCGGTCGGGTCGAGCGCCAGACACTTGACGGCCGACTCGTGCGCCTGGAACGTGTGCCTGAGCTGCCGCTGCCGCACATCAAATATACCTGCCGCTTGTTAAGGAACTTCAAGAGAATAAAAGTGCGTGTAAATCTGTAGCTCGGCAGTTCTATTGGTCATATCTTAGCATTTGAAACAACTCTTTGAAGGATACAACAAGTCTTCTTGTTACATGCCTAATGAGCGGTACTGTCGGTATAGTGCCACTTAAACTGCATTTCGTTATCCAAAAATGTATAAAAAGTGCCATGCATGGTATCATTTGTAGCACAATATTCTGTACTGAAAGTGGAAAAATGTGAAACTTGAAAAATTGGCCCAAGTGGTACACCCTGATCTTGGAATAGGCTGTCTATGGTGCTGAAAAATGAGAGGTTATGACTTCACATACTACTTAATAATATAATATCCAAATTACAATACAAAGAACTGATTTCAAAGACAATTGTAACACAATTTGGCTCTGTGAATACTATATACTACATGAACTGAGAAATGATTGATCAAACTTAGGTTTCTAAACTTATTGTGCTGAGTGTATTCCATCTATCTATTTGAGAGGTATTAGCTTTTTATCTTTCATCTCAAACTCCAAAGACAGCATACCATGTATGATAGTGAGTCCTGACTATTCCACCAAGGAGCACCTAAATCATGATGGACGACATAGATATTTTCTTCAGACAGAACAGTCCAGTCTCTAAAATGTCTGGAAGATATATTACCCTCATATCATTTCTCTGGGAAAAAATACATGCTATAAATCACAATCTTATTCCCACTTGCAAGTCCATTTTTTCCTGACCAATAGGTTCTAACAATTAGACATCAACATCCCTTTCAAGACACAAATATTTTCTTCAAGGTCAAGTCTCTGCAGAGAAAGTTCCATGTTATCATTTATCTTACTCCCACCAGTCCATTTCCAAGGACAAGTTCTTTTAACAAATCAATTTCCAGGACATAAAATCAATACTATTTCAGATAACAAAACAAGAGGAACAAGCCTGGCATTCTTGTGATAACTCTTACAAGTTATCACTTATGAAACAGTCTTTTTCTGCATCCCAAATGCATGCTCCATCTCCCTGGTTCTGACATAGGTTAAAGTGACATTTCCAGGACTGCCATGTGAGCCTGTTTGATCCCTGCACAGCCACAAAGCTCACAGACAAAATGCCAACTGACATATCTGGGGTTCGCTTTGAACCTCTTTGATCATCCATTACTCACACAACAATGAGCAGTGCATCTGTACTAATGCTGTTAAATATTTCATGCTGTAGTCATCCTATAGATTGTAGATTTCTCCAGGCTATACACAGTCCACACTCTGGCTCTCTGAACATTTGTACAATACAGGTACATGTACGTTGTAGGTCTTCACCAAAGGCCATTTAGATGATGTGCAAAAGTGAGATGACAGGTTGTACGTGACACTGTATTCCTTATCATCCCAGGTACCCACGGGCAGGCTGGAACCAAAGGTGATGCAGAATACACCATGTTATATTTTATTTATGTCACATACATATACCCATTTTCAAATCTGCAGCTTCCTGAACTTCCTCATGCCGGCTCCCGGCCAGATTTCTGGGACCTTCAAGTTCATCCCATTGCCTGTGTCTGACCTTTGTACCTCCTGCATGTCATTCTGCCCAGAAGTAACAAACAAACAAACAAGGATACAGATGTCTCCCTTCCTCCCACTGGAGATGAGCAGCTGCTGCTGGGGTGCGTACACTATCGCTGGACTCCCGCTCTCGTGACATGTGAAACCTGCAAAATACAGCAAAATCACTTGTTCCATTAGACTGAAACTCATTAGCAACAGGTACAGTATGGGCATCCCCTTTAGATAGGTTACAAGAGCATTTACAGTTAGCTGTGCAAAGGTTAGCTATAGGTTACGACAAAAAGGCTAAATGTTCTGACCAACACTAAGTAAATTGGGACTTACCCAAATTTTATAGTACACACTCAGGTTATCTGACACGCATGACCCAATTTACTTAGTGTTGGTAAGAGCATTTAGCCTTTTTGTCATAACAAAGTCTACCAACACAGATGAACTTTTTCATGCTTAGGTGACAGGTTCTTCATTGTAATACAACATGCCTGCAACATTGATGTGTTACACTGAAGAGAAAATAAACATTGTTGTGTACAGGCTGTACAGATACAGAAGCAACAAACTACATGTACATCCCAAAAAAATAACAACATGGCAACCACAATTTTTTGGATTTGTTTTTGTACAGTTTCAAGTAATAAAAGTTTTCTGGACCACAATTCCTGCAAATCTGAGTGAAATAACGAATTGCAGCAAATTCAGCTCAATATCTGAGTCAATATCTGTCAAAATTAAAATATGAGCATATTACGTTAAAAAATATGGGCAGATTCCTTTCTACGTGGCACACATGGAGTCTACAGAGGATTTGATTGTGTTTGATGAAATGGTTTGAACTATAAGATTTGATAGATATTTAAGTCTCATACCTACAGTTTCTTTAATTGGCCTTTACAATTCATATATCACAAGAAGTTTGGAAACATGATTTCAGTCCATCATTGCAATATATATCATTATACTCAGTCTATCAGAAAGCTTGTTAGACTATCCTTTACAATTAGGATTTTCTTATGATTATACATGAAAAATTTGTGGAATGAGCACCAAGGGTGTTTGAAAGAGACATAAAACAGAAGTCAATATCTGAAAGTTCTGAGCTGTATTACTTTACACATGTAGATAATCCAGACAAAAATCATTGATTCTGCTTGCCCCAGATGGTACATGCTAGCTTATATATCTTTCATGCATGTCCACTCTGGGGATATCTTTATCTTTTAATATATATACATGTACTGCAATAATTTGAAAAATAACAAATCTAATTCAGGAAATCTATTGATAATTGTCATGAAATTGATGAAATATGGGCATATTACGCTTGAAATACCAGCAAATTTAGTTCCCTTTTACACCACATTTGGGGATTTGGAGAATGTGTTTGACAAATTAATGGTTTGAAGGTAGAAGCTTAATTTTGATACATAAAATATATCATACCTATGGTTTCAGTAATTGGCATTTTATCTCAACCTAATACAAAAAGTTTGGAGTCTTGTAGATTTTAACTGATCATATCTACGGTAGATTGCAAACTTGGTAAGATCTGAATGTTACAGTTACAAGCACTGATGCCTTCAGCTCTTGTAAGCTATACATGAATGCAATTTTAGAAGTTCCTTCGTAAGTAGCTTTCTGCCATTAGAGCAATCACTGCCTTTGTGCCATACGTGGATTAATTCTAGCTGCCAAGTAAGTATGACGTGTACATGTACATCCAAAGACTCGGCTGGTATTAATGATTAAGTCAAAGAAATGAAATTCAAACAATTACTGGGAAGACTGAATCAGAAGTAAATTGCAATCGAGAGATGCATATTACTAAATGTTACACCTCAAACATCACACTAAAGTGGCCAATTTTACATAATGGCCCTGTGCTGTTACAGTAATAGTTCATCATTATGTAAAAATTTGTTGGAGAGTGTTACTCATGATCCCAAGACCTTTCAGAAAACCAAATCTTCAAAAGATTTTCTACATGAGTCCTAATACAGCGGAAACTCAAGGTGCCCTTAAGAGACTGACCTTGAACTAGGCAGCTTCTATGTGGCATTAGGGTGTCCCACAGACAGACATTCCTGGGGGAGAAAAGGTCATCATCATATTCAAGGTCAAACATGGCATACATAAAATCAGAACATCATAAAGTGTAACATTGCATGAATATGCTGGAATCACAGGTACACATGGTGCGTAAATACTTGGACCATATTAAAGTTTGTTGTTTGGTTTCAAATTCACATTTCTGTTTTATCACATTGCACTTCCCAAGTTGTAAACATTTTCTTTCAATCTGTAGCATACAACTGTTTGCTTTTGTCTGCATTTAGGACTACAGTGTGTCTTGTTCGGAAAAGAACACCAGTCCTGAAAACAGGTCACATACCTGAGTGTGACGCTCTGGTAAAAAAATAACGTTATGAATATTTAAGTGTCTGGTTCAGTATCCTGAGAGTCCAACTGAGATCACCCAATTGGTATAGTACTACACAGGGTTTGAACTCTCACACTCTCGCCACACAAGTCATGGTTTCTGTGTGAGATTTATTACCTGGCACAAAATTTGCGGCTTCTGAAATAAACTGAGTCATGCCTTGGCCAGCATGATTGTGAACAATCGCAATACCTTTACAGGTGGCCTAGGTTAAGCCTTCTAAAATAAACAGCCAGTGTTGATTAACTGAAACCTATTGGCTCAGGTTACCTTGTGGACATCCTGATTAAAAAAAGGATTTCAAGCCTGTACATGAAGCATTGCCTGTTATCCGTACCTGTGATCAGATGAGTGCCCAGCAGTAGACAGGAAGCTGGAGGAGTTGATGTAGACAAAGTCGCTTGTCTGTTTGTTATGGCACTGCCGAGTCTGGGGGAAACATGGGGGGATTCATTCTTTTACAACAATTTCAGCACATGAAACTGAACTTATAAATGTTTCTCTTTGATTATGCAAATAAGACCCTCATTTGCATACATTATATCATCATCATCATTATCATAGAATTGTATTAGGCAAATAACATCCTGATTTGAGATGTTGACAAAAGCACCCCTGCAGTTCCAGAACAAGCTGCTAGGGGGCCCAAACTTAAGTCACTTTTCCCAGAGCACAAGAATGTATTTAAATCTAATAATTTTGAGGTCTAATCAAGATCCACCTGGTACATACAGAAAGCCAAATGAAGGCAATCAACTTAAAATCAATCCACACACACACACAAAAAGTTAAAGCTTGGCTATGGTAATAAGCGAGCACTTCCAGTGAACTTACCAAGAAGGGCTTGTTTGTGGCTGAGGAGCTGACTGCCAGCTGCCACAATGACAGATATCCCTCACTGTCACACACTCCAAACTGGGGGCACAAAAATCAATCTTCACCTTAATGCTGACCTGTATCAACTCAATGGGCACAACTAATCCCATATCCTATAATCACAATAAGTACCTTGTAGCAGAATTTGCCCTTTGCCTCCATGTATAGTTTCATCAGTAATTTTTTAGGTCAAGTTCTTTTAACACACCAAGGTTGCGTAAGTCCAGAAAAAATTGTAAAATGGCAGATGTACTTGTACTGGACCAGTTCTATATTATATAAATATATATCATATATTATAATCATTCACTTTGAAGGCACTTGACCTTGAGCTGACCTCTCCCATGCCCTTTGACCTACCTTGTTGCCCTGCAGGTTGAACCTGACCCTGTTGACCCTGGGGTAGCCGGCTGTCCTGTGGATGGAGATCTGCTGGGCGTGTCCCCACTCCCACATCCTAACACTGCCATCCTGACATCCTGTCAAGTCTGCAAACACAACCAAGACTGGTCATAAACTACAAATACTAGAGTCCCCAACTTTCGCAAGATGATGGACACCTTTACAACTGATGAATTCTAAAGATCCTAATTTGCAAGAATTATATTCTCTATACCCAGTGACAGTATTATGTTAACACAGAAGGCCATTCTAGCATTTCCACATAATTCATACAAAAGAGGTCCTGGTTTCAATGATTTGAATACTAGTACATTATATTCAATGACATTTATAATCAAATTATGATGTTTTGAATAAGTTATTTTTGATGGCAAAAGAGTTAGAAATCTTACAGTATGGTAATGTGGGATGTGAGGCCATTCTCCGCACTCCTGACACACTCCTCTTCAGCATCTGTAGTGAGAGACAAATCTCTATTAAAGAGAAAACATTCTGGACCCAAAATCAATTATCAACTCATCATCTAAGATTTGCTAATACTATGCATCTTTGTGGAATGATAGACATAACATGGGATTATCACAGGTGATAATCACCTTTTCAGTTAACATTCAGAGCTCATCAAGTAGCCTTGAACGGGGGTAGGTACAAATGTAGACACAGGTTTTCTAGCACGTACATGTAATGTTACATGTATAACCTGCTACATGTACTACAATCATGTGTCTCTGATGTCACATACCAGAAGTAGACAGGTCCATTCCGTGAACATGGTTGACTATTACTAAGGGCCTGAAGTTCCTTCACCTCTGTGTATTGTACTACATGTACGCTCATTCAACAAATGTGCCCAGGTCCTTACTCACCACGTTGCCCCCCCTGCCTGTCTGCATCCCCCCGTACCCCAGGCTGTGGAGCATGGCTGGTCCTGGGCCGTGTGGGTTGGGAGAGGCTGGGGCTGACACGCTGCCTTTTCTCTCCACCCCCGTGTGGACAAACAAGAACTCTCCCATCTCACTGTTTCCTGGGGCACTGTGTGGACACAAAACCAATCCTCAGTACAAACTCTTCCAACATGTCACATACACCACAAATTTTCAGCTGTCCTACTTCAGTCTTCTTTGTTTATTTCACATAACCTGTAAACCACTTTTCAGGCATAACACAGCAGCTTTGTGCTGTCAGGAAATACAAGCTGCATGATAATTACATGTAGCTACATAAGACTAGACTATAAGCTTACCTGTCTGATCCACCCACAGTATATGAAAGACACCTAAACTTTATTACACAATGATCATGATTGTTGCCTTTAATATTCCCAATGTTTACGCACTTTCTTAAGGACGGTTTGGCAAGATTCACGGCACAATGTCTGTGTATTATGAAGACATGGCCCTAGGAACAGCTGTGTATCCCAGGACAAGAGTGGGGTCATACAAAAGTCATGTAAAAGCTTCACTTTGGTGCCCCTTCACACTGCGGGCTACACAACTTCCTCTTTTACACGCTAATAACATTTTATTGATTTAGCAATTTCATCTACTCCTAATATAGAGATGTCATACACTGATGTTTGGGTCGCATCTCCTGAGTGATCTTGTCAACAGCACTAACAAAAGATAAATTCTTATCAGTGTTCTATATAATACTTTTTCAAACTCCATTACAACTTATATACAAAATTTCAGAGCTAGAGACAATGGCAATATTCCTGAGAGACCACAAATCAATTTCTAACCCACATTCCTTTGGTTAGGCTATATCAAATTCCAGCAGAGATAAATTAAATATGGAGATGACACAGAGTATCAATCCTGTTTCAGATTACAAAAGAAGCTACTAGACTAGTATATTCCCCCAATTGTTCAATGGAAAGTTGAATAAATTTCAGCAGATATATACTGGTTTGAACATTTCTATTAACAACTAACGATGTGCCTAAACTGGGTCAAAAGTGATTGATTTTCACAGGACTGGTGATATATGGCAGGAGAACCACAATACTGGCTGTGACCACACTCAGCCTCTGAACTGTATTTACATGTACATATATCACTACAATGTCAAGTGTAGTGCTTACCTGTATTAGTAAGCAAAAATAAAAGCAGAGGGCTATACAGATACAGAATAAAATCTGGTACATGTATTTTAAGTCAAAGGCCAAAGTGTCAAGAGCTATTTCCTTCACATCACTGAGTCCATCACTGAGAAAGGACTCCAATCTAACTTCATTTTCAATGTTGTCTGAATGGAGAAAGGAGGTCAGAAAGAAAGAAGATACATTTTTGGGCAAAAAATATGATTGACTCTGGCAATTTGAGAATTTGTTGAGCTTCTGGCAATCAACAAACTGGGGTGAAAGTTGTTGACATCATGATGGTGGCTTTAAGACAAAAAGTCAGACTGATACCTTTTTGGCCCGATGACAGACTCCATGTCTGGTTGTTCCTCGTCGATCCACACATACGGCTGTGGGTTGAGTATCGCTGACACGTCCAGCTCCTGTACATGACTGGCACTCGCCACCACTATGCAGTTAGGATTGGCCTGCAGGGGATCAGAGAGAGAACATGTACTGGGTCATACTGACTGTGGACCATAAGATATACATGACAACAGCCGATACATTTGACTCCTGAATTGCATTTTGCTCACACCATCGGACACTGAGCCATACAACAAATGTCATGGTGCCATCATAGCATCATCCCTCAGTATGCTAGCAGAACATAACAGATAACACACCAAACTCTCTATTCAATGGTCAACAACAATTACCAAAAACCAACAACAAATGCTGAAAAGAAATGCTTCTTAAATACTATTTACAAGTCTCATCAATCACCATGCAGCAGTTATTGAATGAACAGTCTTAAGTCTTCATTATTTCTGTATTCTGGTGTACCTTTTTCAGTCACCCTACATGTGAAATCAAGCATTAATATGAGGACCACAGTTACTGTACTGAAGTCTTAATCTATTCTGACCTGATTGGTGCAGAAACAGTTGATGATTTCGTTCTCCTTGTGGATGATGCGGATTCGTCCCCCAGCCCGGATCTCATCCCGTGTAAGCTGGGACAGGCAGAAACAAGACATATCAGTCAGATCTGGGGTCTGTGGTAACCAGCAGGACTAAGGCCACACCAGTTTAGTATCCATGTACTTCAGTTTTGAAAAAAAAATAACACTGGACTCGAATAACAACATAATGAAAACAGAGTCTGGGGGATAGCCAGTTTCAGAAAGTGAAGAGTCAGATTACAGCTTTCTTTCAGATCCTCTGTTATCAACTTCCTGGTAGATGTTCTTTTGAAAAAGGCAAAAAAAAACAAGGAAATAAACGGGTTTGGCCTTAGAAAAAAATCAACAGAAATTCAATAGTCCAAATTGCCTTGACAATGAAATCACAGTCATGATAAAATAAGCTTTGTGCCAAAATACCATTCATAAAGGAGCATGTCTGGAGCTAAAACATATAACTTCCACAGTATAAATCCCTCTACCGCATACATGTAAAACTGTGACAAACTGCTGTGTCTACTAGTCACACACAGCCAAGTCAGCGCGGGTAGTCCTTAACAAGCATGCACCTGATCCATCAGGTCGACAGGTTCTGCATTTTCAGTGGACGGGGTCTGACTTTGTGTCCCTGAGTCTACCTCCTCAGACACCCCGCCCGTCTCAGCCTTACCATAGGCATCATCAAACTACAGGGGGGAAAACAGCACAGAACAAAATCAGAGAACTCAAAAACAACACAAACAACAGGTCTAGGGAGTGGGTGCAGCTACAGTGAGATGGTCATCATTCCTGCTTCAACTTTTTATCTCCATTTAGTAAAAACACATCATCCCCTATTGTGTGCATTAGTTTGAAAGTTTATCTATGTTCTTTTGGAAGATCATTTGGAAGCAAGATGGGCTGTTGTTTTCAATACCAAAATTGGACTGCAATAGTTGAAAGCAAAAGTTGAAAGTATTCAATAAAAATCACAAGTCTTTGGACATGTTGTATATGTACATATATTACATTTTCTACAAATGTTTTTGCTATGATATGGGAGGGAATTCCCTTATTTATGTCCTTTGCAATGTTTCCATATAAGGTGAGGGAACCCTGACCATCTCACAGTGTGGCTACACCTGGTGCCTTACAGTGTACAGTACATGTATGTGCAACAAGCATATGCAAAACTCGGGATAAATCAGAAAAACAGGAAAGTATGGGAGCATGTGCAGCCTATTCTAGGTAATAATAATAAAGAAGGTAAAAAAATACAAAATATTGTATTAAGTACAGCAGAATATGGCAAAATCAACAGCACAACTAAAATGTAAGAAAAGTAAAATCATTCTGTAAATCAAACTTCTGTTTGTTTCTGGCTACACTAAGCTGACAACTTCACAAGTACTTTGAACTAAATGTAATCTTTTCCTTTTTTTCGGCCTACAGTCAGCTTAGTGCGGCCCTGTAACAGCTGAGCCCAGCCCACGGCCACACCACGACCCACAGCAGCGCAGCGCATTGCAGCAGGAACAAGAGTGTGTGGTCACCCGTACTGCTCTAGATCTGCCACCCCGGACGCTCCCTACCTCCTGCATGTGCGCCTTCTTGGTGAAGCAGTAGCGGATGAAGGCATCCTGCAGTACCTCCTGGTGTACTAGGTGGTGCCACAGTCGCTTGGCCGGCAGGGCGGAGCGGTGGTTGGACCTGAGATGCAAAATTTTATCATCCCAATTAACCATCCTATAGTGGCATTGTGTGGTCAGAGTGGTTTGCTCACAATCTTTCAGCTGATTATTGACAGTGCATGTGTTCTACATGTATACTAAGGCCACACCAATTTAATTTCTTGGTTAACGGATTTTTCTAGAAAAATAATGGAGCGGGCGGGCGAAAAAAAAATAAAATAAAAACAGGCCTAGGCATTCTATTAGGGCCCAAAATGGTATGATATGAGCCATGAAGTTAACACACCAGGCTGGTTCAAAATTTAAACAATGAATTTTGAACTTTTAATGATACCACTGCATTGAAAGATGGAATAACTGTAACAACTAGGAAGAAAAGGACTGTTTTCAACTGTTCAGGGCAAAATATGAGCATTTTGCAGTTGATTCTGAATTTTTATTTTTATTTCCAAATCAGAAAAAAATGAAGAGGGCGAATCCGTTAACCAAGAAATTAAATTGGCGTGGCCTAAAGTTTGTAATACTGATAAGGACATGCATGTACATGTACACAGATAAGGTGGTGTTGAAGTGCCAATTTTGTCTACAGTCTTTGTACAATATACAATGTAGATGAAATGGAAGATACATGACTGTGTAGTTTTCCTGACTTTACTTCAGTCTACTTCTACTTTCAAATTGACTCAAACTTAATGCATTTAGCACATGTAGGCATGTTCATTGCAATTGACTTTTATCTTTTGTACTTTTATTTATTTGTCATTGTCAATAACAGGACCCTAACCAATTTTGTGTACCTGAAGGGAGTGTTGGTTGGTTCCAGCATAGCCTTGTAGCGCAGCAGTGCTGGGCCTCCTGACGACTCCACCCCCGACAGCGGGATGTAGTCCAGCGGGGGTCCGTTGAACAGCTCCAGACGACCAATCAGCATCTGCTGCCAGAGTTCCAGGTTCTTCAGCACGGCGTGGAGCAGCGGGGACGCTACGGGGAGTTCTACACGTGACGGGACAGCATCCAATCAGCATGCAGCATCAGCACAGTGTGTGATCAAGCAATAGCATGTACTCTGCAGCTTGCATGCAAAGTCAGCGGCACAGATGTAACACACAAACTTCATTTTTACATCAGTAAGTTAAAGGTGTTAATTTTGACCTGTTTTGAATTCCTTTTTTTTCTATTACAAACAGAAGGTGTTCCTACAAAATTTCAGGCAAACTGCATTCCCATCTCCATGCCTACTACTTGTTACAGGGCTCCTTGTATTCACTGGTCGGCCCTAGGTATTTGGAGAAATCTCAGCACATCGCAGAAGGCAATCAGACAAAAGCTCCCCCTGGCTGAATACCCCAACAGTGCATGTATCCTTACCAGCCATCTCTATGCCTGCAGTTGGAAGGAAGTTCTGTACATTGTGGAAGACGATTTTGACCAGAGCCAGCCTCATGAGGCTCCAGCTGTAGGAGTTGGGGTCGGAGTGTTCCTGGAGCTGTGCCTCTGTGACGGAGATGTTCAGACTGTCCGCATCCTCATCCTCAGACTCACTCTCCACCGTCTCATCCGAGTCATAGTCAATGGCGTTCTGGCCAGGAGGAATGTATGGCTGTGGACAGGAGAAACATGCTTGCTTTAATTTGATGAAATGACTTTTTTTCCAAATTTCAAAGGAGCCATATGCTGGATATTGTATATCATAAATGTCAATTACTTTGATGGGTTTTGTACATTCTCTCTACTTTTGTCAATGAAGTTACATGTATTTCATGAAATAGTGTGCACCCAATAAAGTTTTACATTGTTGTTTGAGAGTTATATTTGACTAAAAACAATCCTCAATAAATATTGTGATCATGATAATACTATGAAGAACTTTGAAGAACTATGAAGATCTCAAGGAAATTTAGTTGTGTATGACACTAAAAAAACACCAAATGATGAAAAATATGTGAGCAGGATCCTTGAGCCTCCCACCCCTGTCCTGTACCTTAGTGATGAAGTAGTCCAGCATGGAGACTTCAGGTGGGATGAACTTCTCCTTAAACACAGGTTTGTCCTCGGCGGCAGGGGCAGGGCTGGGCATGTTGGCCTTCCCCAGCAGCTTCAGGTTCAGCCGGAGACGCTGTTTGTCCATGGCATCCCGGGCATCTGTGCAGCAGGGTGGTTAAACAGGTGGTCATTATTAGATTACAACAGGTGGGATCGTGTGGCAGCATTGGGTGTTTGGCCCAGAACCGAATGGTCATTAGGAGAGGCTCTTTACATGACTTTCCTTACTTCACTCAGGTGAAAATAAATGGTACTACACAGTTTTGGTGACCCTCAGATAGGACTGTCATGTTAAATGGAGGTGCCGTGTTTGGGGAGATCAACAAAGAGTAGAGGCATGCCTCGGTGTGTGATACGACTATCTGAAAGTTAGTGACTCTAGGAAGAATAGACATAAGTGTGAAAATCTAAAGGAAATCTCAATAAAACAATTGCATTAACAACTGGGAATTAGGTTTTCGTGTGACTTATGACTAAGGATGGTTGGCCAGCATACTAGCCCATTGAGTGCTTACTTGAGTACATGGCTGGCTTCTGTGCAGCCTGCTTCAGCTGAACTTTCACCCCTCCGCCGAACACTGCCGCCCACATCTTGGCGTCGAAGGGATGTGCCACCAGGTGGAAGAGCTCGTTGGCGGCCTTCCCCGCCAGCCCGTGGATGAGCAGGCTGACGTACACGGCCACCAGCGTCTCGCTCAGGAGCACGTTCAGCTTGGGCTGGTCCTCATCACGCTCAGAAGCCAGCAGGGTCTGTAGGGAACTCACACCTGCAGAGGAGAGGATTTCCTTGTCATTTACTGGCAAATGTTACATCACGCTGACTTTTAGGCAAAGTAGTTGATTTTTGACAGTCAACAATTACAGAGACAAAGTACTGTATGGAGTAAATTTAAAAACTGTCTTCATACCTGGCCACTTGGCGGGTGCAGATGAGGGGGTTGCGTTGTCCTCCCCACTGCTGATGCGTCTCTTCCTGCCAGCCTCCATCAGGTGCTGGGGGTGGTACACGATACTGTTCCACTGGTCCAGACCATCATCCAGCACATCTCCCTGCAGCTGGGGAGGGTAGGGGGCACATGATGATGAGTTAATTGAGACAAAAGCTATATTCACAGTTCAAACTGTACATTCACAGTACTGGGGGTGGTATATAAATGATTTGGTACATGATTCCTGTACCACAGATGCTGGAGTGGCTCTAGGACCATGATATAAAGGGAGAGGAAGTTTCTTACCTGAAGGTAATAGGTGTCGCTGTCACACAGACACTGATACATACAGGCTGACACTGCAGCACTCAACGTCTGGAGTTTGTACACCGTGGTGTTGGTCTCGCTAGGAGAGGGCGGGGCCGTCATGGCAACCACCGTGTGGAGGATGTCGTGGGTCATGCGGACGATGTGAGCGATGGGGTCGGCGACCACGGTCTTGGAGCTGGCCACGCTAGCGGTGACTAATGGTAGCATGGTGGGGAAGGGGAGGGGGGACAGCAGCTGCTGCTGAGTCTTCTCCTGTTGGCATTCCTGCAGCAGGAGGATCAGTTCCATCCGTACGGAGGCTAGCCCTCCCCCTCCCGCCCCGTGCAGGCTACAGTAGCTCAGGAAGGTTCGCAGAAGCTCGTGGTTCCTCTTTAGCCAGTGTTTCCGACGGGCAGACCTCTGGCGTTTGGCTTCAAAGTCCATCTTCTCGGCAAGCAGGATCTCGTGGAGCGTACGCTTTTTCGTGTCCTCATCGCCACTGTCCTGCCCGCTGTACTGGCTGTCACTTGGTCTTCTGCTGTCCTTCAGGTTCTCAAGGTCATCTAGGTCATCAGCAAGTCCTCCATACCTGCAAGGTCATTTCCACAGAATTTATCACATTCAACAGCCAGACTTCAGTATACATGTATATATTATATTATTTAGTACAACTATATTTATTAAATATATACATTATATTTTAGCAGTTCAATTACTAAAAGTAGAGGCACTACTTTACAAGCCTTCAATTTTGAATCTCTGACCAATCTTAAAAGGCAGATATGTTCGTCAAAATCATAGTCATAGTAAGAATGCAACCATGTTTTTTTTTTTAAACCAAGGGTATACAGGTATGTGCTGCAGCACTCCCTGTTGGTCATTGTGAAAACTGCAGCTACAATGCAATAACTGCATCACATAACAATCATGCAAAGTCATATTTTTTATAAGGTAGAATTGAATGCATCACTGGACATAATCATTAGGGAAGGGCATCACAGAAGGGCATCATTTGCATCCACTGTATCCATCCAAGAAGCCATCCAGTACCTGTAAGTTGATATGTGTTTTCTAACATGGTACCTTATAGAACACGGGAAATGCCCTGAAACAGCCAGCCAGTACCTGTAGTTGCAGAGTTTCCTGAGAGCGTCGATCTCACGCTCCAGCCACATGTAGAGGTGGTACCTGAGCTGTCCCCCATCCACCTCGTACCCTGTGGCCAGCGTGCGCAGCTCCTGCATCAGGATCTTCAGACACGCGATGAACTTCAGCTGCTGAGCCATGATGTCCACCTGGGTTTGGTCAACATTGTGCATAAAATTTTAAAAATTGTTTAAAAATGAGAGCTTTAAGATACAATACGGTATAGAAAGAACATCATAACACATGTACTCTACTGTAGCAGATTTATCATTTTATTTTCATTCATTAAAATCCATTACAATTAAGCCCTATGGCAGCCTTGACTCAAGGAAATATGACTTAGCACTGTAATGAAATTTTGAAAAAGTCTGCTAGACTTACATACAATAAATGATAATAACACTTAAAAATCTCTTACATTTTTGTTCTTCAAAGCTATATTCTTAAATTGTACTTAATTGTCTAAGGATGCTCAAACAACGGAAAAATATAGTTTACTCCTTTGTTATTTGTCTACATCAATATCATTTTAGTATAAGATGTTTAAAGACACCAAGTTATTTCTAACAGATTAAGATGTAATGCATTGATCTCACCTTCCTGCAGCGGTCTATCTCTGTCTCCATAGGGCTGGCTAACAGGGCCTGCTTGTTAATGGCTGGAACAGCCAGCTTGTTTGGATCACCAGTTGTCATTGGTTTCATATCCTCTTCATCTTCATCTTCAACTTCATCATCATCATCATTTCCCCAGTCCAGTTCTAATTTGTCCCCATTGTTCAGGGTGGAAACCGGCTGGCTCCAGTCCATACTAACTGCCGGCTGACTCCAGTCTAAGGTGGGAGGGCCAGGTGTACTGGATACGACAGGTTTGCTCCAGTCCAGGGAAGACACGCTGTCGATCCGCGACTTGTCAGCGCTGGGCTGTGTGATGGTGATGACGCCCTTTGAGATCATCTCCTCGTCCTCGGGAGTGTTGACGACGACCGTGGAGTTGCAGGAGTTGTCGGGGCTTTTCTCCGTGACCTGCGGAAGTTTGGACAAAACCTCTAGGGCCAGCATGGGGCAGCCTGCCGTGAAGTGTGCGTGTGCCGTGGTGAAGTAGAGTCGCCGCTCGATCGGCGTGATCTTGTCTGCGAGCCCCTTCTCCGAGGCAGTCAGGCTGGCGTGTAACCCGACCCGGCTAGAAGGAGGAGTTGGTGGCCTGTGCTCCGCGGACGGACCCCTCGTGCGTGGACAGGTGCCTGCGCAGGAGGAGGGGGTGGGTTCGTAACCAGTTGTAGAAGTTGAAGACCTCTGGGTTAGCGGAGTACTCGCTGCCCTTGGCTGAGCGGACACTGCTGGGACTGTCCATGTCGTCCTGTTTGGGCTGCTGCAGGAGGCAGTTCAGCGCGCGGGTGTGGTCCTTCAGCAGCCAGTAGGCGATGCTGCGGAGAAACGGATCCGGGTGGATCTTCCCTTCCTCCCGCTCCTCCCCAGCATCACTCAGGCCCAGGATGTGCTCATACAGCACCTGGGAAACAATAATAATGATGGTATTTGAATATTTACAAACTTGCCCCAAGGCTAAGCTGAGTGCAAAGTAATATACAGTATGTAAAAAGGTCAAAAGGTCTAGTCTATAGATCTATATTCTGATGTTTCTACATAAATGATGTACATTTTTAAAAAACAGCATAATTATGCATCACCTGTTTCTGACTGTCGGGTACATCCTGCTCCAGGTTGGAGCTGTACAGCCGTGCCACCACCATGGCCAGCTGCAGGTCCTCCAGCTTGTTGATGCAGACCTCGATGGCATCAGGGAGGGAGCCTGCCAGCAGGAAGAATGCTGCCGCATGCTCAAACCGCTGCTTACCCAGGAGCGCAAAAGCGTTCTTGAGCGCAGCCCGCCGCCACCGGTCCTCGTTAAAGTTGTTGTGGAAAAAGTCCATCATCTTCTTGTCCTTTACAGACCTGAAGGTTAGAAAAGGGAAGACTTTTATCTAAAAAGCACCTCCTTTGAATTCCTGGTTTTCTAAGTAAAATCAGTGCATGTACAAGATAGATGTATGAAACTTGTTCCAGAATACTGTTTCCTACCAAGGTGAAAATGTTGGTAATTAACCTTCCAGCCAATGACTTTTAAACAGTTTTGACACAAAGTAAATCTTTTTTGTTCAGGCTGAACTATGATCAGAACCAAGTTCTTATAAGCTGGGAAGGACTTGGACAGAGAAGTATCTATTAAGCATTTCTAATCTTTCCAGCTCTATGAGATTATAATCTGACTTCCCCTCACCTGAACAGCCCCCAGACCAGTGTTTTCTTCTTCATAGCCATGTAGTACAGCGCTGCATCCATAGGATCATTCTTATTCTGAAATGCTGCCTTGGCCACCTGGTAAACAATACCACATATCCAGGATAATGCCATCAATAATTTTAAAAGCGCATCCTTATCCCATACTGCATATTTTTAGAGGTAGATTAGGCCAGGTTGTTGTTACTATAAAAATTAACATAGATTTCTAAAGTACCGCAGATGTCATACAATGTATCTGGTACAGTTGTTTGCAGTGGAATGAGTGGAATGAGTCTTTCCTTGGTGCTGGAATGGAGATGTTGTAAAAATGTACTTTCTACTTGTACTTACTCACTGTCTTCATTTGGTAAGGGGTTGGATAATGGCTGATTTAGCAGGCTGAAGGTTAATTGTACAGTACCTTCTCCATGGTGGTCCTGAGAGTGTTGTTGTTGCGTAGCCACCAGCCGACCCCGAGTGCCTGCAGCTCCTTCCAGGTGGGCTGGCCCTTGTGCAGGCTGGGAATCATGTTTAGCAGGTCTGCCTCCGATTCTGAGTGGAAGGCCCAGGCAAAGTTGGAGGTGGCAAGGCCCTGCAGAAAACACGAAAGAAAAACTTTGCTATTTTTGTTCTTAATGTAATTACCTTCACCAAGAAGGTTTTTGAGGAGAGTCATACGTCATCGTCATCGTCATCTTGATTACCCCCAGATAACCCCGCGAGGGGTGCCGTTAGGGGGGGGAGGTCAAGGCTAAGGCGGGCAGGCATACCTCAAGCATATTATAAAAACCCACCATTTTGACATTTAGACTCACCTGTCGGAACACCTGAGCTCTCTGCACAGGTGGGAGGGACCTGAGCAGGTACAGGTGGTGTCTCATGGCAATCAGGTACCTCAGGCCACACCCATCCACCGTCTCACCTGCAACAAAATGGCATGTCTTAATGTGGACTCAACAAAAAAATTGGAGATTTCTGACTTCCAGGAAGTATGCAATCTTTAGTTTTCAAAATTAGCCATTGACAGCCTTGAATTCCATCTAGCTCCAGATCCTTTGACTTCCTGTCATTCTGATTGTCAATCATCCCCTACCAACACAACATGCTTTCAATCTACATGTAATCTGTCCAGACAAACATATGCACAAACTCACAGCTCAGCCACCCAAAAGTAATGAAGTCAAATGTGGAACAAATAAAACAAATAAAAGTGCTCAAATGTATGACTTCTATTACTGGTCCGTGTAAGATACATGTAATGCATGCTATACAATCAACATACTAACTAGATTGTACTAACTATAAAGCTTACTGTTTGCAGTGGTGGAAGTGCCTTCACTGAACTCTGTCCGTGTGTGTGCCAGCGTGTCTGCAACAGCCAACAGCTGCATCTGTTCTAAACTGGACAACCCCGGCAGTCGCGAGTGTGTGAGATGATTGGTCAGGATCCTTGCGTGCTCCGGCCCGAAGTACGTCGGCGGGAACTGCTTGAGAGAAATCGTCTTTGGTTGTGGCTTGCTCTTGGCAGTGAAAGCAATGAAGTCTTCGTCCACGTTGAGGTCTGGATGTTCAAACAGTGTGCTGTAGGCATCGCCATCAGTTTTGTCTGCATTGTTCTCGGTGGATTTTGTTGGTGCATCCTCCTGTTGTAGGAAGGCTGATTTGTCACTGTCTGCAGCCAGGAGGGCGTACAGGGGCAGAGGTGGGATGGACTCCAGCTCCACAAAGTCAGGATGTCCCTCCTGGCCATGTTCAAACGGGTCTGCACTGATGCTGTAGGAACGACTGAGCATGCTCAGACCACGGGTGAGGTGTCGTCGCCGGTCCGTCTCATCCCCAGACGTGTCCTGCTCTGCGGGGAGAGTGACCTGGTCATCAGACGAGATGCACCGCACAATGTGGGACAGGATCGCCCGCACACGCCGGAACTTTCCAAAGTTCATGATCTCCATGAGCTGTTGGGGGTGGTACTGTGGGAGGGTGGGGGAGGCAAGATACGCTGCCTCAAACAGTCCAATGTCATGTAGGGTCTTGTTCTGACTCAGGTCTGTTTTACTCTGAACCTCAGCTGGTGGTGGCTTCTCCGGGCTAGTTTTGTTACCCTGGGCCGATATTCTACTGAGGATGGAGGTGCTGGGGGTGCTACTGGGGGAATCTCTGGAGCTAAGATTGTCCTGGGATGCTACGTCTTCTGCCAACAGGACCTTCTCCTCCTCCTTTGTCTTGCTGGACCACTGGGAGTACACGTGCTTCTCATCTCCCAGCCCAACCACCAGGATGCCGTCCCGAACCCAGGACAGTGACATGGAATGTGCTTCTAACCCGTCGGGCGTGAGGAGATCAATGCTGCGGAGGAGCATCCAGCGCTGGTTCTCCTTCTTGTGGCTGAGCGTTGCCACTGGCAAGAACATGGAGGCCAGGAGGCCGTTGGGAGCAACTTCGACACCCTGCTCTGACGAGGAGTGTAGGGCGGGGGATACGGGGGTGTACATGAAGACTTTGGGACCCACCCCCACTGTTAGGATGTGTGAGCCGTCCTCCTTTGACACCCAGTCCAGCTGCAGGACCTGGTACTTGGTCTGCTGCGGAGGGACCAGTGCTCGATCGGGGGACGTGTCCGGCACCGAGAGAAACAACGTGTCCTCAACAATCCACTCTGAGCCGCCAGTGGACTCACATTCAAAGATGGCTACACAGAAAGCAGCGTTATTGTCCAAGGGAACAGTCTGTTTGTCTGATGGAACATTTAGCACCTTGAATCCACAGGCAAATCTCCCATTGTAAGCACTGCTGATTGCCACAGGTTCCCCATCCACCTGTACTGCACTGCTGGCATTCTTCTCCGACACCATCAGTTCCCACTCAACCCACCTGCAACAAGAGAAACACAGAATTATATGGAAGGAATCATACCACTGGGTCAGTGTTTTTATTGTATTTTTTCATTGTTTACTTCAGGTACATGGCCCACATTCACACTCACACATTTTTTGTTGTTAATTTGTTTCATAGTTGACCATATTAACTGATTATTGATTTGATTTCGAACTTACCTTATGTTACTTAATTATGTTACTAAGTGTTTTTATTTAATGTCAGTGATCACTCTGATTCGAACTCAGCTTATGTTACTTAATTATGTTAATTACTTTAAATTATTCAATTTATGTTAATATGCTGTTGAATTCTGTACATTTCTGTTGTTAAATTTTGAATTTTATGTGGACTCCAGGAAGAATAGTGGTCAGTTGAACACTAATGGAGATCTAATAAAAACAAACAAACAAACACATTTATTTAAAAATTAAAAATATATATATATATACAAAACTAACTACAGTCAAATACAAATACTGCCATACACAGTAGTGTATGGCAGTATTGATCTAGCCAGAGATACATGTACATGTACCATACATTCCCACCTGTACTTCTTATCCTGGGCCCTGACAAAGTCTACAGGTGACATCACACCGCTGAATTCCTCGAACTCGGAAGCCTTGTTGGAGACGTTACATCGCCAGAAGCGAACCTTCCCATCAGAGCATGCCGTAACGATGAGATAGGGTGCAAGGCATGCTGGGTAGATGGAGGCGGAGCTGAGATGTCCTGCCGCTGGTGTTGCATCAACCACCTGCACCCCCTCTGGGAGACTAAGTGCTGCTTCATACACCTGCAGGTGGTGGAAAACAAAATTCTTACTTCCAATCTTATGTCCCTCGAATCTTGTAAGAAACCATTTAAGGCTTAAGGCAATTCAAAGCAGCTTTGAGATGCATGCCTCAAGCAACTCTTTGACTTCTGACTTCCACTTCAACTTTTTTATCTTTAATGATCTTGACCTAGGAATGGCTAAGACTAACAATAATGGACAATGTTTCTGTTTTGAGGAAACAGATCTTATTTGTTTTATACATGTACTGAATGCAGTCCTCCTATGTCTCCACACAGAGAATATAATGCCTTTTTCTGTATGTACTGGACCCTCTTGGAAATCAATGAACTTTTATCAGTTGAAGGGTGTACCTGGTTGTGTGATACCAGCCCTGAACTTCCTGTTACCTTGTGAGATGTGATGACAAGTTTGGAGGTGGGGGTGTGGAACGATGGAGTGTATCCCGTCGTCGGGCTGTTTGGCTCGGACGTTTCCGGCGAGGTGTCGCTGTCGTGGGCGTACTCGGAGTTGAACTTCGGTGTCATGTCTCGGGCAGCTACAGGGAGTACAGAGAATTTTAAAAGTTGCTGCATTTGCATTTAGAATGCACGGGCAATGAAATCATTTATACCCTAGTGTTGGATGCTGTGATGACTGTGCATGTATCTCCATCGTGACAGAGAATTCCAAGATCCTATTATTTTTATAGTGATAATGAATCCTGAGCTCCTATTGGTAGTTCTGGAAAGGTTCTCTCTTCACTGTTATGTAGAGGTGTATGGCCAGAAGCGCTTGGGAAGGATGCCAAGTCAGCCACTCTTACCGTGGCACATTGTGTAAAGGACAAGGATGAGTAAAAATTACTAAGAGGGGACTGTTACCTGGTGTCTGTAGTTGGGAGACGATCTCGATGTACCACATGTGCAGGACAGACGTCTCCTCAACCTTCTCCAGAACAACCAGGTAGAAACCTTCATCATACCTGTGGAGGTAAATACAAATGGATCAATATTTAGCTCTTCCTGTTCACAATGACAAGAAACACACAACCTTGGATCAAGGCTGGTGACATTGGACTGACTTAAAGATTTCGGAGGACGTGGTGCCCTGCAACATTCTAGTCATGTTTTTTGTAACAGTGACAATCTAAGTTGATTCTAAACAATAATATTTCCCTAACCAGTGCATAATTTTACTAGCTGAAGGTTTGTGATTTTACAATGTAGTTTCAGTCTGTATTCTAATATAGCCAGATGATGTTAAGCAATCACAGTCCCCATTTCATGTTGTCTATGATGCCATAGTGAATAATCATCATAAGACTTGGTCAGTTATTGGAATAATTGACCACTTGACCATACTTAAATGCAGGGGGAGTAAACTCTTTTTTGCTAACATTTGTAGCACGTATAAGCAAACTTTAAATATAACCCAGTTTCTGAGGAAAGAACATGCATGAAGGTTGTACCCTGATGAGTGGAGAGGCTGGGTGTCCACAGGCTCAGTGCTGATGCTCATCTCTCCTGCCTGCTTCTGGCCAAGCAGAAACTCTTCCTGGAACACATGCAGCAGCTGGGTGCTCTTCCAGGACTGAGGAGAAAACAAGGCAGTTAGACACACAAACAAACAAGCAAACACCCAACCCACACACAAAGAAACAGACCCTATCATCATCATCAGGCCCCCTTCTGCCCCAGTACCCACCCTTTTGGCCTGAGTGATGGTATCCAGTTCAATGACACAGCCTGGTCTCTTGGTGGATTGCTGACTGACTATTTTGAAGAGCGGCTCCCGTTTCTCCCATGCCATGTCCACAGACTCTGGTCCACTGCTGAACCCTTCACTCTGGAAAACAGGAGAAGACATAAACTGATGAAGTAAGCATATAATCATCAAATTTTTATTTTGCAAAATCTTGCCCGAATGCTAATTTGAAACACAGACGCATGAAAAAGTACTTGAAGAATGTCTCAACAGACTAGTCAAAGGTTAGTGCAAGGGAGCATGCAGAAACTATAACATATTAGACTAAGAGGAAAAATGCCTCCTCTACCGACATATCTGATGTTTTTAAGTACTAGATTACTGAGGGGATTGAGGCAATGCATGGCCAATGAAAACTCCCCCATTTTTTTGTAATATTTAGTAGAAATGTTTTTTGTGCTAGGCTTTCTAGGTTGAAGGGCGATTGTGGTTAACTTTTTCAAGCCTTTGCTGTAAGTCAGTCTAACCAATAAGATATGATTACATTGTACATTTTGTACCTCAGCCAGTCGTTCTGCCTCCATGTTGGCGGTCTCCTGCAGCAGCATGCGAGCGTCGATCACGGCCTGGTACAGTCGCAGACTGTCCCCGTCCGAGGCCACGAAGCAGGCGCTGTAGGAGTTGGACATGCCGCCGAGGGAGGAGCTGGGCAGCAGGGTGGGGACCCACGCCACGTTGGAGAAGGCTGAGATGTGCGAGGAGTTGATGCGGGCAAGTTCTGTCACCCCGCCTGCAGGAAAACAAAACAATCATCAAGCTAACAAGAAAGTCACAATCCTTATGGTCATAACCTTAACCCTAAAAGTCATAACCAAATGGAAAATAAAAAGATTATTGTTTGCAAAAAAGCAATTCCTAATCCTACCCATTAGCTAGATTTACCACTTAGTTTGATCATAAAATTGCTATGATCTTTCTTGCATAGAAATATATACCTCATGAATTTTGTTTAGCTTTCATAGATTAACAAAGGCTTAAACAAATAACCGAAACTTGGTTTCACTACCTTTTGTACAGAGATTTTAAAGATTGAACGAGCACAAATTAAAGTTTCTGTAGAGGAAACTCACCTGAGAAGGACAGAGGACCCACAGGGTCCACTCTCCACAGGATGAGCTCACTGCACAGACCATGGGGGTGTCTCAGGTCCTTACTGATGGGGAACACAGTATCCTCGTCCTCTGGTATTGTCCCTCCATGCTTGGATTCTCCCGTGGCATGTCGCAGCCTGGCTTTTATCATCTCCATGGGGTCGGACGTGTCCTTTCCGCTCTCGAACGACAGCCGGCTGGAGCTGCGACTGCGACTGCCGATGGAGCAAGTGTCGTCCACCTCCACGTGGGGAATGTTGTGGTGCGAGGTGGTGAGGAGGAGGGGCAAGACGGGGTGGCAGGCAAGCTCGTTCAGGTG